TTTTAGGACAGAGGAAGTGTTTTTTTGATACAACATTATTTTGTTTTCTTATTTTAGTAGTTTTCCATAAGATCATACATTTTGGTGGTTCAGTAGTGTTGTTTTTTTCTGTTATTTCCAGTATAGGATGCATCCAGAGATATGCCGCTTTCCTTCTTTGCACTTTTATAGTGGAAAGTTGATGAATGGAATTTTGATGTCAACAAAATCTGCACCCTTTCATGAAACAAATTTTCTTGGGCCCTATATATTCTTTGATGTTGTTGATGGCAAAGAGCTCCACGGAAAGAATTCTGGTGCCATGTCTCTCTACAATGAGTGTGAAGTTGATGTTGCAGTTGAACTGTTACGTTTTTTCAAGAGCAGGTATATTATACATCCATCGGCTCTGTCTCTATTACTAGCTTTGTCCTCGTCCCATAAAAAGTCTGTTTGATAAATGTACATCTTTTAAATTTTTACAAGGTACAACTCTCAGATTTCATGAAGCATACTTTTTAAAAAGATTTATTTACGGATTGAACTAAATTTATGATACATAATTTCTTTGTCACTCTTTTTTGGCATTTTTTTCCTTGGGAAATCACAATAAAACTGATTCTTCATATGATCAAAGTGGGCTTTCTTTGGACAAGATGTTTGACAATTGACTCCTTTGTTCGGGATGAAGGGAGTATTTGCAATCCTTTAATTAAATATATTCCCATTTTGAAAATCTTCATGTAGGTACCCAACAGAGTTTGTTGGTGGAAGAATTGGCATCATAACACCTTACAAATCCCAGCTATCTCTATTGCGCTCACGCTTTTCCAATGCATTTGGACCTTCTGTCATAGCAGAAATGGAGTTTAACACAGTGGATGGTTTTCAAGGCCGAGAAGTGGATGTACTTATATTTTCAACAGTTAGGGCAGCTGAAGCATGCTTCACTGGCCATGCTTCATCTTCCAATATTGGATTTGTTGCTGATGTGAGACGGATGAATGTTGCTTTAACCAGGGCAAAACTTTCTTTATGGATCTTAGGTAATGCAAGGACGTTGCAATCGAACCGAAGCTGGGATGCTCTAGTGAAAGATGCAAAAGAAAGAAATTTGGTCATAACAACCCGAAAACCTTACAATTCTATATTTAAATCAGCGTCAAAAGAAAACCGAGCATCAGAAATCCAAATGCATACTGAAAAGATTGAAGACATAAATGATGGCGCCAATTGGCATAAAAAGAACAGAAACAAGTTTGGAAGGAAGAGACGGCACACTGAAGCAGTTGAGGTCATTGATGTCAAAGCTTCCAAGCCTGCAAAATCTGCGGTTGTGGAAAATCAAGGTGGAACAGGAAGGAATAAGCCTCAGAGTAAAAACAATGAGAAAGCTGGCAAGCAAATGGAAACATATAACAATAAACATGATGATGGCAGGGAAAAGAGCAAAGCAACCACTGATTCTGAGTCATTCAAGAAGGATCTTGTAATGTCCACAGCCGTTGAAAATAATCATGTAAGGAATAACAAACCTTCAACATCTGCAGTTGGGATGAACCAAGAGGATGCTAGTGGAAGTCGGGGAAAAAAGAATCGTGATAAGCAGAGTAACAAGGAAAAAGCTGACACGTGTCCGAAAGAGAAGGATAAAAGGAGTTCTGTTGAGGTTTTGGAAAAAGTAACGGATAAAGAACCTTCAAACAAAGGAGGCCTTAAGGGGACGGATAGAAAAGATGGCAAAGAAGTTCAAATTCAAGGTGATAAAACTGCAGCTTCAGAAAGGAAACAAAAACGGGACGCTGTTGAGGCACTTCTTTCTTCTGCTCTTATATCTTCAAACAAGCCTAAATCGTCAATCAAATCATTGCCTGCGAGAAATAGTTCTGAAAATAATAATAGAGGCCCTGGAATAAGACCACCAAAGACAAGAAAAGGTGAATGTCTGTTAAAATATTCTTTTCCTCAAGAGAGATATGCACTTCTTGTCTTCTTCAATTGATCCCCTTCTGGCGGGCTTTCTCTAGGGAGAGGATGCAACTGGGATTACTCAACCCTACCTGCTTATATAGTGTAATCTATATCTGTTTAGGATAGGGTAAAGTAGCATGCATACTACCTGTGTCTGGTTCTGCTAAGATACTCCATGGGTACTAGTTGGGTTAAAGTGACGATGGTGATGATACATGCAAGTGTGGTTGGGAGGTGGGTGTACCAGACCTTAGTCCTACCTATACAAGTACGGAGTATTTTTTAAAGACCCCAACACAAGAAAATAAATTGAAACATTCTAGAACATTAAGTACAATCAAAGATTAAGAGGTGAAAGTAACATAAACAAGAGCAAGGGGGGTAGAGTAAACATCAATACACACAAAATACTGTTCATAACAATTTTCTTATCTCAAAAAATTCGTGCGACATATTTTGTGCTTTTCAACATTTTAAATTCCGTGAAAAATAAACTAAGAATTTATGGGACAGAGGTAGTAAAAGGCAACAAAACTACACCTATCTCCAATTTTTATGTTATTTGCTTAGGTTAAAAATGATATTTTGGTTAGTTTCTATTCGGGTTTTGGCATGAAATGTGTAGTTGATTTTCTGTAAGGTTAGGGTACAGTTAGTGGGCAAAATAATAGTGATAATAATGAGGTCTTTAGGGAGTTCAGGCACCCAGTATGGCCGTATTGCATTTTATAGGGATATGGTACCAGCTTACATCCCTAGACTAGTCTGCTCATCTGTTTTGCACCCAGCCATCCACACGCGTGACTTATACTCTGTATATGTTTTAGGGTTTGTTATTTTCTTGTATCTCAAAAATGGGTTTAAAAGCATCACGGTTTTTGAATATCCAACTACTGTGTAGTCTAATATAAGGTTGCTTTCTGCTTTCAGTGTAGGCTGGCCTTTAGCAGGAATCCAGATTCCAAAACCGCAGCGTTATTCTTCTTAGAATTCCAACCACGCCACAAGAATTTTTCCAACAGCTATGACTAAGAGATACAGGCAGGACATGGTGGTTTGCTAGTCAAGAACAGCCGTCTTGAGCCGCCCCATGAATCAAAAGATAACTTCATTCTGATAGTATTTCAAGTTGTCTCCTGCCACACAAGGTGTTATTTTCCTATAGCCATCCGAGAAAGCGTGTGCCTTGTCCACCCCCCCACCCACCCCACCCCACCCCACCCAGAATTATATCCCAAAATATATGTAGTTGAAAAGCTTGGAGAGAGTGGGATATTCCTTTGACCCACCAGTAGTTTTGACAGTTGATAGATTTCCAGGCTTTTATATATAATGTTAGTTAGCGTTACACCGGATAGGAAATTCTTTCCAATCCATTTTTGTGTACATAATGAAAGTTGTTTTCAATGGACAAAATGGCGAAGCGAGAAGCATTTTTCTTTATTGACGCTAGAATAGTTAAAAGCTCTAAACATGTGGGTCAAAGGCTTAATTATCTATTAGAAAAAATTCATGACCGTACTCTTAGAAATTTGATATTTTACAAGATTACACCATTCTCACCAACATTTACAAAAATATAATATTTTTACAATAATACTAAGAATTTTTAGTTCACACTTTACATGAGTCCCCTCATCTGCAAGGAGTATGTGTGATAGACTGATAGTCATGTAGTATTACTTTGATTTCAGAGTATTTGGTTTTTGTTTTTTTTTTTTTTTGCAATCAAAATTGATAAATTTTGATTGGTAATTAAATAAGTAATTAACTTTATTAGATTTATCTTGTAAAATACTTTACAAATTTTATTTTATCTCATTAATTTTTATTTAATCTTAGGTCAAATATTAATCTGGTTGATCACAAAAATCAAAATTGGATAAATTCTCTAGGACGGGAAGACTAGTTTTCAAGTATTCTTGTAAGATTCTAAAATTTTAGAAGTGTTGACATGAGTTTTTCCTTATTTATAAATTGTTAAATAACTTAAAAGTTTTACGAAAGAGGAAAAACACCATAAAAAAAATTCCGTACCTTACTAAATTTTTTTTACAGTTGTACCTTACTAAATTTTTACAAGTGGACACCGTAAAAAAATTCCTATTGATCTTAGAACTTTTTTATTGAGTACTATGTACTCCGCTTATATTTTGGCACGATTAAGCTCCGCGCAATCCTCTATTTTTAACCGGCATTAATCTACTCATAAACTCCCATAAACAAAATTGATGTCTATAAATACTTATAAGTTGTTCTTTTATGGTTCTAAATTCTAAATATGAAATGTGAACATTCTCGACTACGTATGTGGTATAGTTGGTTGTACTAGAAGTACGATACAACCAGGTAGTACTCATTTTAAAATAAAGTAGTACACATTATTATACAAAATGTAAGTGTTCATTTTGAAATAATGTAATACTCTTTCAAAAATAAAGTGATGTTCATCTTTTCACACATTTGTTCAATATAATTACAATATGAATTTATGAATTGCGTAATGTTCATTATGAAACAAAATAATATTCATTCTAAAACAACAAACCGTTCATATCACCTAAGTCACACAAGCCTGAAATCTACCGCCTTTTTTGTCTCTGAAATCTATCACTTTGGTTGTGCGTCTTCTTTCTTCTACGCCAAAAGCCCTGACCGGAATTTAGAGTCGTGTTCATCGCTGATTGGAATTAGAGCACGTTTCATCACTCGATCAGAAGAAACTCATGCAATTAGAGCAGCGCCGACTACAAATCATCCATCAACGCAGCGTTCCCTCGCCGCGAACGTGGTCCATCGTTCCCTCACCGCGAACGTACTCTGCGTTGCCGTTACTAATTTCTCCCAATTAAATGCTGGTTGTACGGGAAGAACCGTACAACCGACGGTACAATATAAATTGCAGATATTCTCACACTTTTTGGGCCGGTAATTTAATTTTTTTTCCCGTAAAAGATCCCATTCATTTATAATATCAATATACTAAATTCTATAGAATGAACATTCATCTTAAGACCGCGTGAGAATTTGTCAATAAATAAAACCGACGAAAACTTGAGGACACATTATTCTTAATTAATTAATTTCTCATCTGAATTACCAAAAAATACGGAGTAATAATCGTAATAATCAAAACGAGCACAAAATCATTCGGAACAAAAAACAAAATCAAAACAAATAATTGCTCATTCAACAATTCAAACGAAGAAGGAAGAGTCACGGATTAGATTTGGTAACAGAGCGAACGGAATTCCAGATTCCGGCGACAGCTCCGGCGAAGTGAGGGAAGAGTTGTACAAGTGCGCCGGAAGCCACCCCGATGGCGAGCGTCTGGGGATAGCTAGGTTTCGAGTCCAATTTCATGTCCAGGCTGATCAACCTCGAGCTCATCGAGTCCAGCTTCCTCGACGTAGCGGCGGCGGCGGCGGAGCCTTTTTCTCCGGAATTCACGGCCATTTTGAAGAGCAGGTTCTGGAGATCTTCGATTGCTTTGAGCGAAGCTTCTTCGGCGCCCAAACCCTTGGCCTCGTAGTGGGCAACCATCTCCTTTGGGCTCGGCAACTTCCTCACCTTCTTCGTGCTGTTACCTTGGCCGCCGTCGCCGCCGCCGAAAGTCGGACGCTCCATTACAGCGCCGATCCTCCCCAATCCGAAAGGCAAATGTGAAGTGTTGCGGAAAGACGGCCAAATGAAAGCAATTTAAAGGCGTAACACAATTCAAGAGCCCTCTCCTTTGTTTATCTTTCTCCTTTCACTTTTTCAGAGTTTTAAAATGTAATAATTTGACAATTAATATCTGTATTTTTATATATGAAAAAAATTATAAAAATATATTATTTTAGAACTAGATTTTAAATTAAATATAATGATACTAAATTTATATCAGTCTAATTTATTTTTTTCGTTATATTTCCGTCAAAATTTAAAAATATTAACCATAAAAATTAAAGTGAAGAAAAAGAAATGAAACGAAAAAGTAGTAACGAAGGGAACTAATTATACTCCCTCTTAAAAATAATATTATTCTATCAACTTTCACTTTTAAAAAATTTAAAATGAAAAGTGTGTAATTAAAACTTAATTATATGAATAAGAAATTTTTTGAATTTACATAATTTGTTAGTTTAGAAACTTTTTGAAGTTAGCACAAATCAAATTTAAACATGTAATGACTTAAAATTTATATGGTATAATAATGAGATAAAAAATAATTTACAAAATAAGTTAAATAAAATTATTTTCTTATCAATATCTATTACAGAGTATTAGTTTTATTTAATATATAGTCAAGGTTTGTCAATTTTAACAACACAAAGTTGAAAACAAACATTCTGAAAGGTAATATTCGTTATCAACAAAAAAATAAAGCGTGTTTTGAAATAGCCAAAAGGAAGAACTGGTTACAATGTTTTGGGACTAGTACACTTTTTTCATATCCTTTTCATTGCTTATTTTATTTCATTAAGGAGTATTTATTAAATTTTGTGCTATGAACCCAAAACTAGCATTGGTCAGTTCCAATTGTGTGCTTGTTTGACTCATACAAAGTACTTCCTCAATTCCTTATTACCCCGGAGTAACACATAAAAAAAATGAATGAACGTAGACATAGAATATATTTACATCTATTCATTTTTAATGTACTCTGTAAAATGAAAGTCATAATAAACCGTCGATAAAGAAATAAAGAATGAAGGAGTAACATTTACCGCTTGTCAATATAAGTCTCAACCACATAAAATTTTCACTTCATTCATCTCCGTCGCAGTCAAATAGAGCTCAACAAATTTAGATGGAGGAATTCATATGATACTTTTGTTAATAAAAGTGTAACAAAATGAGCCCATCTTTAGGGGGGCACCTTTTTTAACATAGCGGAAACTTGTGGTTGAAATTTATGTTTTGCGACGGGAAAAAAAAATTATCTTTTGAAGAAGACTAGAGAGTACGAAGCTCCATTTGCATTGTTAATTACCTGCTTTAATTTGATGCGAACCAGTCTTTCACTTCCTCGAGCCATCCAGTCTTTCACGTCCGCTGAAAAAATTTGATGCGAACCATATGCAAGAGAAAAACAGAACCAAATATGTCCATTGATTTAACACAATAACGAGACAGTGTTTGGGAGACAAGTTCATAAAGTTTTCAGATCCTCAATTTATTAGGATCATGCGTAGATGAACTCATTTTACTGTCCTATTAAATTGAGCCAAAAACAAACAGCTAGAGGACAACGGTGGTTTTCTTAGTAATTAAGCATTGCCCATAATGATAAATTGAGCAAACTCATTTACAAACAAAAAGAATTGGATCATGGGGGGAAGTTCAGACTGATTTGGTGAAGAAAAAACAACTGTGCTTACCTCAATTTATAGTGGTCACACCAGCATGAGAGAATTAAGCAGGGGCTGAGGATGCCATCGTAGGGGTCCTATATATTTGCAGTGTAGCATTGAGCAGCAATTGTCTTTAAGAAGGGGGGATAAGCATCCTTTCGACCCCCATAAAGTCAGATAAGAACTCTTCGTCATTTTTGCCTAACATATCTTTTAAGCTACAATCCACATTTCTACCTTTCAACACCAAATACCTAGGTTTTATCCTCTTCTCCAGCGAGTAGCTGAAGTATCTTGGGTATTCCACCACTTCGTTTATTCCCCTTCCCATTGTGTTCACTAGGAATTCCACTTTTGGCCTCAGCACTTCTCCTGTACTGTACCCGAGTAAAGGAGAAAACTTACGGACCATGAACGATATGTCACGCTTTGAAATCCCAACACGCCTCAAATACCTTACCCTGTTCTTCAAATTCAAATTTAAAAAAATCAATTTTCTTTTCGAATTTAGTGAAATAATAAGTGGCACTTACTTCCATTGAGCGGCATATACAACAGAAAAGGATCTTCTTTACCTTGGAAGCAAAGCTCCATCAACATCGCATATGAAGAACTCAGGATATTTCCTTATAACCCTGGGGAAATGACTCTTGGAAATACCAATAGTATTCAGAAAATTAAGCTTTCTCTCAAGAGTTCTCTCAATACTTGAACCAAAAATTTCAGGGCAACGAACAAGAATTTTAACAAGGACATCCTCATCAACTCCCAAATCTCCAAGGAATTGCACCACCTGGTAACAGAAGTGTTTTTTTTTTAAATTAAATAATGAACCTCAGATACGAAATAGATCATACAAGTTAAACAGTAGGAAGTTCTGAAGTAAACATGAATGGTGGCACTGAAAGAAGAGTGTAAAGGGAGAAGCGAACAATGCCAAGTTCTCTTTGGTGGTTCAATCTTAAGTATTCTTTTGGTAATCAAGGTAGTTGTGCACCTCTATGAATAACAATAACCCAATAGAGACCCACAAGTAGGGTCTGGCGAGGGTCGGCAACACAGACATTACCCCTACCAAGAAGGTATGGAGGTTGTTCTCAGAAGTCTCTCAGCTCACGAAAAACATATAAGCAGATTAAAACAATCAAATAATGAAGGATTAACAGTAAGAAAGCACGTCTAAAAATCCCTTTGATTTATATTTCAACAGGGCAAATGATGAAATAAAGAAAAATATTCAATGTGCAAAGATTCGAGTTAATTCCATGGAGTAGGCTACTTTTAGTTAGAGACATACAGACTATTAGTTTTCAAAAAAAGTGCTACCTTGAGGAAGTCCTGAGGTTTCTGTACCAATAACTGCGGACTTGTTGCAATAACCTTACCCAACTTCTTGTTTACGATGCCCAAGTCTTTAAATTGATCAAGCATCAATTTCATCTTGTCAACTGAGCAGCCTAAAAGGAGTGGCCATCTTTTGATTGCACTGGCTACACTAGCAACGGGTACCTGCCAGAAGAATAAGTACTCTTGTGAAACAAAAAAAAATCTACCTGTAAAGTGTAAACTAGACAAGCAAGGTAAAACTCGTGAATGTGCAAGTCGGATCTTCATATTGCAGTGCCATAATGAAGAAGAGTGTCACCATACATTTCATGCCATTGCACCAAACTCAATGTAATGATTTTGATGATGAGTGTCGTGAGTCATTAAAACGCAAAAGAACAAGATAATGACAACATACCAACACATTGTAATAGTTTTTAAGTAAGGTCAACGGCTGGAAATAGTAATTCAAATGTCTATCACCTTCTTCTTATTGAAGAAATCTAGGATCCTTTCATAGTTTTGCAGAATGCTTGCAGAAAGAATCCATGGATACTTGAGTAACATCTGACCAAAATCTTTGTCTGCTGCGCCAATCTGGAAGATAATAAAAGTATAGTGTTCAGTTATTAGAAGAAAAAAATATGGGTTTAACTCAATAATTCTAGTGTCCAATAAAAAAGAGCATACTTTTACGAAAGAATGTAATCTGGGTCTTATGTCCTTCTCAACATCATAAAAAATAATTGGCGGAAAGAGTAGTAGGATTCGTTTCTTCAATCCATGTGCAACACCAATATCCTCAAGGACTTGGAGGACAGGCTCCATTGTAGTCTCCAATGGAAGCAACAAAAGACGTGGAAATGATTCAATAAGATATCGGAAAGAACTATCTTTGGAACCTAATAAATCTAGACCTCCACGTCTCGCTTGGATCTGCAGGAAGTATGGAGGATATAAGAATGCATTTTTAGAAATTTATAAAAACTATTAAAACAATGAAATAAAAGTCTTCTTATAATTTGAAATTCACTTAGGCTGAGGAATAAGAAGGGGATAATTAAAACTGCATCAAACTGCAGGAAGAGAGTCTGACCTTTTCAAAGAATGACAATGTTTTCTGCACATCATCATCAATGGAAATAGAAAGGTGCTTCATCATTCGTCTAGCATTCATACCGACAATACCTTCATCATCACTGTGATAAAATAACGTTTCCTTCAAATATTTAACCTATAAACAAAAGAAAGTAAGCAAACTAACCTATAAATATTTACCATAGTATTCATCCTTTTTTATTTTTCTGGTCAAATTGGATTAACTTTGATAATCAATTGAATGAAAATTGCATTTTATATTTATACAATGGAATAAATTGTTTGAAATTTTCTACAAGATAAATCTAATGAAAATCATTTTTGTATTAATATGCAATGCGTTTTTTAATTGATGATCAAAATTTGCCCAATTTGACAAGAGTCAAACAGTATGAATACTAGTATTCGACAAAAATGTATAATAACATAAAAGCCTTAATAAAGAACTTCCATATGTAATTCTTCCTTATTACACATTCAATAAAGAACTTGGTTGGACCCCATTTGATTTTTTTAAGATATTAGCCCTTAAAAACATTCCATACATTACGAATCAACTACTTGTCTGCCAGAATATAGTACAGAGTAATATACTAACATTATTAGTCTAGAAGAGATTCATATAACCTGCACAACCAAAAGTGCAACTCTCCAAATGAAAACCATCATATTATCATAAGCTGAAACTATAACAAACTATCAAGATAATGAGCAACAGCTCTATGGGAAAAATTAAAGGCATATGCAAAATAAAAGATAAAGATATTTGTAGAGATCAAGGAAATGTGGTCGAGTATCATACGCATCTCATAATGCACTGATCGAGAATCCATCTAAAGGTCTGTAACTAAACAAATAACCAGGTTCCTTGAAAGGCGCAAAACTACTTTAGCTACTTGTTGTTCAACAATTCATGGCAATCATACTGACAATAAATCAAAGCATGGAGAGATTTGATGTCCTGGAGGTAATACCTTTTGAATAAGATCCGGAAGTGTGTGGGAGGATGAGAGATAGCGGCCCAGGTAAGTTGCAGAAGAGAGAGTGAGGCCAGTGCTTTCTAAGTAGGGAAGCATACCCTTATCGCCTTTCTGCTGGGCCATTTCGAAGACCTTGCTCCTGAACGAAGGCTGTGAGGGAGGAGCTTCTGAAGCTGAATCCGTCCACGAATTCCACAAGGAGAGTTCATCCAGGTCTTGAACACTGTCAATCAACATTTGCAGGTAGCTGGGAGCAGCAATGGCGATTTCCATAGCTTCCTCCGCAGAAACCCCAAGCTGCTGAAGATAATCGCAAAGCGCATCCCTTGCTTCACCCAGGTTATCTTCCTCTTCTCCTTTTCCTTCCGCACTAGAAGAAGACGACGAAGACGAGCACCGCGGCGGCACTATCGAACGAAATTTGAAATTGCGGCGGCGGACAGTACGAGGATAGACTCGGGTATTCGGAGAGAAGCAGACGGGAGAAGTTGAACAGAGATAGCACGAAATCAAGCGATGTGGCGATATAGCACTAGTACCGCCAGGTGCGGCGGCGGCGGCTGAGATGAGCTGATGGGGATGAGTAAGTAGGTTTATGGGACGAGTACTGTCAGGTGCCGCGGCGGAAATGATATTCGGAAGCCAATTCAACGCCATCCTCCGGCGGCTCTGCTTCCCCAATCCAACACAAATAACAATTCTCCGCTTCCGATTAGCCTTTGTAAATGCTCAGCGCAAGTCCGGGCTTGATATCTTCTTCCTCCTTTTTCCTAAAAAAAAACCAACCCTGGTTTGATTTTGAGGAAGACATTAGACATTTCTCTTATTTTTAATTTACTCCTTCCGGCTCGAAACTGGGTGAACTTCCCCCATGAATCCTGGGGAGTGGGCTTGATACCAATCAAGCTAGGGGAGAAGTTCTCAACAACTTTGTTACATGAATCACTAATTTATTTCTCCGTATTATTGATTGCAACAACAATCCACTTGAATTTTCATAAGAATAGAACTTAGAGTGTGTGCATATTTGAAAATAGGAGTTTGCTTCCAAAAACTTTCAGACTCAAGTGGCACATATATCATTAGGAGTCAGATAAAATAAATAAATCACGAAGCACAAAATACCAAAGAAAAACTAATATTGACGAAAAAAACACAACAAATTGAAAGTACCAAACATAAAAAATACACAAGTGTGAAAACTACCCATAAGCAAAAAATGCCTACCCAACTACCATAGTTCTACCTCTTCAAATGGTTTATTTAATTAAAGTTATATACTTAGTAAGGATTAGAACTCCTAAGCCATTTCTAGTTTTTTATTTTCTTTTATGAACTTCAATATCATGCCCATAACCCATACGTATGCCATTTTTTATGGTTTAAAGAAAAAGAAGAAGAGTGTACCAAATATAGTACTCCATATGTAAAAAATCTAAGACAAACTAAAATATTTGAAAAATTCGTATATGTTTATATTCACTTCTTATTTGTAATATACAAATAGATGGAATATGGATAAATAATTGGTCCAGTCCCGTACGAATTAAACTTCTCTAAAAAATGATTTAAAAAACATAATTTTACATGTTATATCTTCTCAAAGAGGGGGATTCATTAGAGTGGACATTAATTACATTGAGAAATATGATGAACCATCAACTAATACAAATATATACATAATTCAAACACCATTAACAATCTTTAGTTAATCAGTCGTCGTCATGCTCTTTCACTTTTTCAACTTCTTCTAACGCCTTCTTCAGATCCCACCTCTGGTCTAAGTCTTCTTGGCAACAAGCCAGTCCGATCTCGGCTAGCTTGCGCATTTCGCCCCGGCTTCCTCTTGTATCCCCCATTTCCCTGTCGAACACCGTGTTGGTTTCGTCGCCATTGTCGTCATGCAACCCTTTGGATATGGAGTCAACCCAGCTGGCAAATTCAGAACCGTATCCGGGACACTGCATTAAGTAGTTCGCGGGAAATCTACCTGTCATTGCCTCGAGGATCAATATTCCGAGGGTCCAGACGTCTGTCTTCTTGGTGGTGCGGCCTTGTCGCGCGTATTCGGGAGACTTATAGCCGATGAGGATGTTTTGGAGTTGGTCGCAGTTTAACACGGGAACTAAAGTGTAATCCATGAGGAGGGGGTTGAATGAGTTGTCAAGAAGCACATTGGAAGACTTGAGGTGACCATGGGGTGTCACTAGGCTTGGGAGCTCCAAGTGAAGGTAGGATAATCCCCTTGTCACTCCTTTCACAATCTTCAACCTTGTTGGCCAATCAAGCCTTGAGTCATTCCCTAAATATCCAAACATCCAACATATACTGTTTAGTGAATTACTTGAGTACAACATATAAGATTTCATAAAAAATTTTAAGCTTGACATACATACTCATTATAATATAAAAAAATTGAATGTACGATGAGACACTCAGGCCCTGTTTGGCATCAGTGTTATCTATTACTCCCTCCGTCCCCCTGTATTTGTCCACATTTGTCTTTTGGAACTGTTCATCTAAGCACTTTGACTCATCAAATTCTCTCAATGTGTAAGCCTAAATATAGTCATGTGTGATCTTGTTTGATTTGTCTTAACATATAGATTATTAATATATAATTTTTATAATTTTTTAATATACAAATTACAAGATAAAATGGATTAAAGAAGTGCATTGGATGGTGTGCAAAAATGAAAGTGGACAAATATAGGGGGACAANTCCCTCCGTCCCCCTGTATTTGTCCACATTTGTCTTTTGGAACTGTTCATCTAAGCACTTTGACTCATCAAATTCTCTCAATGTGTAAGCCTAAATATAGTCATGTGTGATCTTGTTTGATTTGTCTTAACATATAGATTATTAATATATAATTTTTATAATTTTTTAATATACAAATTACAAGATAAAATGGATTAAAGAAGTGCATTGGATGGTGTGCAAAAATGAAAGTGGACAAATATAGGGGGACAAAGGGAGTAGCATTTTGAAAAGGTTATCCGACGGTAGCCTTTAGAGTTAGCGTTTTCAAAATTAATCTACACCACTAAAATTTTAATTCAGTTCTTATTTCCTACAATCCCTTCAACGTGAGACAAAAATAGTGTGACATACCATAAAGGTGAGTGGCCAAGCTACCATTGGGGACATGATCAACCACCAAGAGCTTCTCCTCTTTCCTATAATAATAAGCAACAAGGGGGAGCAAGTTGGGGTGGCTCAGCCTCCCTAACCTCCTCATGTGCTCGTGGAAATCCTCCTTGCCCACATGGTTCATGTGCTTGAACCTCTTCACCACCACCGCCTCCCCGTCCATCATCACCGCCTTATATGACGACCCCAAGTTCCCGCTTCCCAACACCTCTGCCGACGCCCTCAACAAGTCCTGCAAGCAGACGAACTCGAATATGAGTACAATTACGATTTGTTACATTAACGAATACAAATATATAGCAATTCCATTCTGTAAATATTTAAATATATCTAAATACTTTAGAGAAATTGTAAAAGTACATCACTTAAAGTTGTGTAACTTCGTGACACCATTTCAATTGGGATATCTACGGTCTTTCTAATCGTAAAGTTGATTGTTCATATCCCCTTAACTCCACGACCCCTACTGGGCACATCTTTAATGCACCTCGCACCTTCTCCAATTACACCAACCAAACTTTGAATCATAAAATTGACCACAAAACCAACAAAAAATTGATTGGTGCAATTGGAGGGGTGCAGAAGTACATTAAAGATAGGCAGAGGATCTACTATGATTATGAACAATCAATTTTATGAACCCTATTAAAGTAGTACTCAGTATCATGAAATTGCACCAATTAAGGATGTAATTTTATACGGAGTAATTCCTAGTATTTACTCCGTATAATAATGGTTAGTATTGTATAAATAAACCTACCTGCAGGTCAAATATTTGCCCCTTTTCTCCCCCTTTCACGAATGTCAGCTTCCCCACCCCTCCTCCTCCTCCTTTCGCTACCGGGGCGTTATTCCCCGCCGGAGAGATCGCAATTTCCGGAGATGACGCGCCGCCGCCGACGGAGAGATTCTCGGAATAGGGGGAGAAGGAGGAGCTGATTGCCGCGGCTCTGCCGCCGCGGCCCAAGGTGGGCTCTTCCTCGTTGCGGCGGTTGCGGAGGACGTTGATGATGAGCAGGATGATGACGGCTAGGGCGAGCAGACATATTGCGATCAGCATTAACAGCCGGCTCAATGAGGAAGATGATGAGGGAGGTGTGGGCCGGGTCGGGTATTCATCTGAATTTGGGCCTGCTGATTGAGGAGTCGGGGCAGGTGGGCTTTCCGGGTTGCATACCTTTTCCAGTGGCTTCCCACATAAATCCTTGTTCCCTACAAAGACCAAAATTAGTTCGAAGTTTTCATCAAATTTGGAAAACTTTAGTCATAAATTTCATAAAAATAATACGATTGAATAATGTGAAATTTGAATTAAATAATACTAAAACATAAGTCATTTCTAAATGTAGTACTTAAATTTTTTATTTTATAAATAGTGTTTGAATAATGTCCAATATCTGGAATAATGTCCAGTGACATTTTTTTGACCAATGATCACTGGACAATGACCAGTGATATTACATTGGGAAAAAAAATATAGTACTACATTGAGAAAGTCATTATGTTTTCGTACTATTTAGATAAATCCTTGAATAATAATGTGTTACCTAGTATTAGGTTTCTTTAAATGGAGTTTCTGAATATAAAGATTACTACTACCTCCGTCCCATTTTATAACGTCTGTTTCGGTTTATGATGTTTGACTGAAATTATTTTCAAACCATTTTATATGACAAATGGTATAGAATTAAAAAATAAAAATTACATATTAAAAAACTACATCAAAAGATCTACAAAACTAGTAGTGATAAGAATATTTTATTTTATCAAATTGCTAACGAAAATAGAGAAAGAAAGTCAATGAAATTTGACCCTGTGAATAGTAAACAGTCATTATAATTTGGGACAGAGGGAGTAATAAAATTCTTGTTTCGAGATTGGTGATTTTCAAACTATGTAAAATATTCTAAAAGTCGAGATTAATAAACCTGGAGTTTAGATACCCGTTATGTACTCCCGTCGTGTTAGAATCAACTTTAATTGAACTTTCTTTTTGTGAATATGTAAAAGTTAACACCCTTAGTTCTCGAGATGATCTGGGGTGCTCCGGCATCCCGTTCGTAAAATTGACGGTTCTTACCCCAATAACTCTCCCACAGCGCCTCGACCCGAACACGCCCCCACCCCCTTCAATTGCACCCCAGGTTAATTTTGACTTTGAAGTCAAATTTTGACTCCAAAGTCAAAATTAACTTGGGGGTACAATCGAAGGAGGTGTGGGGAGTGTTCGGGTCGGGGCAGAGGGTTTACCGGGGGAGTTAGAGGGGTAGGAACCGTCAATTTTACAAACGGGGCACCGAAGCACTCCTGGGTCTGGTTCCCAATGTCATGAGAACCGGTCTCAAAGTTAACTTTATGTTCTTATACTCCATTTTAGAAAATAAATTCTCAATTTCTTTCAAATAAATTTCAACTTCAGACTTCTTACGTTGATTTCAATTTATTTTTCACCTTATTACTTATCAAAGCAAAACATATCCGAAATAGCGTTAAATATAACTACAATTAAATTAAATGTGTTTGTCGACTTTTATTTTTACTTATTACTTAATCTTTAGACTTTTCTACTACTTCGAACTTCGTTTTTATTTCATACTTTAAATTCTTTACTACATAATTTTTTTTTGAAACACATTAGTTTGTTCTTTTGTTCTTTGTTATTAAAAATAGTGTCTCTTACATAGTTACATCCTCATAGGACTCAATTGGGTTTTTAAGTTTTTTATTCAATAAAGTTTGAAAGTTGTTTAATGGAGTAACATTTCATACCAGCAAAAGTAGAGGGATCCATAACGGATAAGCTCCGGGGGATCCGGCCCTCCAGCTTATTGTTAGAAACGTTGAGCAACTTGAGCCCCGGCGGAAACTCCGGTATGGTTTCGGTGAACCCATTGTTGTCCAGCTTCAATTCCAAGAGCCTGGGGGTGGTCGCCAGAGAGACCGGAATGCGCCCGGCGAAATTATTGTTCGACAGGTACACTTTCTTCAAAGAAGTCATGCTGGCGAAGGCGTTGCCGGGGATCTCGCCGGAGAACCGATTGTTGGACAAGAACAGGGACTTCAGGGCGCCGAGCTTTCTCCAGTCCGGCATCAGCCCTTCGAACGCGTTGTTCATGAAGCTGAGCGTCCGGAGGAATCGGAGGGGCGTGAGGGAGTCGACGTCGATGTCGCCGGAGAGGTTGAAATTCTCCAGCTGCAGACCCCAGACGTCGCCGTTGTAGCAGAGCACCCCTCGCCAATTCTCGGCGTTGCCGGAGCAGGGGGCCGTCGCCGGGTCCCACGACGCCAGCTCCCGGGACGCCATCAGCCCGTTGGGCCCCGCCACCAGGGTGTTCTTGAAATTGATCAGCGCGTCCGCCGAGCTCTCGGCGAGCGAGTCAGGGTCGCTTCCGGCGCCGCCTCCGGCGGCGGCCGCAGGCGGCGACGAAATCAACAGGGAACCAATTAGGACGACGAAGAACAGGGAGAAGGGGCATGATGACGGTGATAGGTACGACGGCGGCGGCAACGCCGGGAACTGCCGCCGGAGGCAAGGGTGCACGGCCGCAGGGGCGGCGGCGTGCACGCCCATCATCATCATCAGCAACCGGTGGGACGGAGGAGGGGAGCAGTGGGGGGTGGTGTTTTGAGCCAAGATTTTGACAGCATTTGTTTATACTTTTTTTTACCTCTCTGTTTTTACCCACTTTTTTTTCTTTTTTTTTTACCCCCTAAAAGAGGGGTAGTTTTTGGCGAGGGGAGGGACTGGTTTTTTTCCCACTTTCTTTCTCCTCCTCTCTCTCTTCCATTTGATTTTGTGTCTTCCCATATTTTTAGGAGTTTGATCAATACTCCCTTGAGCTCAATCTATTTCTTTCCTATTGATTTTTTACAACTTTTGGCTATAAATTTTTAGTTATAACTTAAATCAATATTTTTGATCATGACTTTTTTGAATTTTTTTTTTGATCATGACTTATTTGAAAAAAAATATTTTTAGCTATAACTTAAATCAATATCTATCATCTATCCAGTTTATATTACATGTTTAAGATTAATTTTATTCACATTTATTACTCCGTATTAATTTTTATTACTCATTTGATAAACAATAGTCATTTCAGCTCTTGTTTTGTAGAAGTTCTAATTTATTTTTCAAAAATACTCCATGCATTCCTAAATAAAAGTTGTAATTTGGTTTCACATAATTTTAAAAAATTGTTGAAATATAAAGAGTACTCCGTTTATGGGTAGAATTCATTTTGAAAAAGAGAGAAATGTTATTAGTCACATATTCACTTTCTTTGTCCTTTTGTTTCGAATAAATCATCAAAGTATAATTTCACAAAGTTTAAAAAAGTGTTAAAAACTAACAAATGAGTTAGAAGAGAAAGGGAGATTGTGAATAGGTTTTTCTTACTTTCTTAGACAAGTAAGAAATAATATAATTATTTTGAGACGGACTAAAAAAGAAAATAGAGCAATTAGTATGGATGAAGAGAGTATTATGAAAAGAATAGAAGTGAATTGTTTGTTTTGAGACAAATGAAAAAAATAAAAATTTTATTTGGATGCAGACTTCGCACCAATTCTTAAATTAATTGAAGACTTTAAAAACTAATGGCATTTGAATTTTGAGGATCATATATATTTGTTACAAAGAGGAAAAAACACGTAAAATATACTCTGTAGCACCTTCAAAAAAGACGAACCAAATACGTGTGTTGGGCGCTGTAATTTTTAAAAACAATATTCTCTTACAAAACACAGCCACGAAATATATAATCCCGAACAAAATAATGACTTTAATTTTTCATCGTCTTTTCATAAATACTCGTACTCTGAAGGAAGCAAAACTAACACATTGATCATAAAAATGAATACCTGTAATTCTGTAAATCCAAAGCCTATAAGCTTGTTGTGTCCTTAAGACGGGTGCAAAGCTCCTCCACGAGACTAATTCTAGGGACGGTATATTCTTTTGATGCACGGACGTCCTTCAACTTGACATTCCCTTGGGCGAGTTCGCGCTCACCAACAATAACCATCCAAGGGACCTTAGACTCTTTGGCAAGATCAAGGTGTTTTGTCAGCCTTTTGTTCACCAGGAACTCTGCATTCAGTTTGGCGTCCCATAGCTCACTCACTAGTTCTGATGCTATAGTCAGGTCATCCCCCAGGACGCTAACAAGCACTTGTGTTTTGTTAGCTCGGATCTGAAAATTTAGATGTAATGTGACAGAATGAATAATAATTTCCTACGCAACGATGAAACAAAAAGAAAATGTACTAAAAATGGATATATATGTGTATGTGTGGGGGGGNAATGAAATGGTGCATTATCGGCATGCTGTGATGCATTTTACACTTGCAGTAGTGCATTTTCGGCATTGGTCGAAAAATTGATTTATATACAAAATTGCCACCGAGATTTTTTTCATTTTCCAGATTTTGGATTTTTAATAGCCCTTACATTTTAAATCTAATGGATTGTATGCATTCTCATATCTTCCACTATGCATTATATATATAGACACGCACAGAATAGCTTTTGAGTCTGAAGCAAACTAAATCTGCCCACCCCACACATTTTTTCCTCAATTTCCTATTTATTTCCTCCAATGTATTTCCCTAACATTTTCTTAAACAGATGTTTGTGGGGTAGGAAAGTTGGGGGAACACAAGTTTAGCCAGTATATCACCTCCTTGTTTTTATTGAGTTGCTCCATTATTGTGAATACCCTCTCAATTCCCAGGCTAATACCAACTGCTGGAACCTGCTTTTTGCAAAACTTTCCTATGAGATCATCATACCGCCCACCAGCAGCAATTGAACCAACCTGGCACCATTAAAGTTTTAAAAAATGATGTAGCAATTCCTGTGTATAATTTGTTTAAATACACATCAGCATATGTAGAAAGCCATTAATCATGTCTTACCTGGACATCCCCTTTGAAAACAGCTTCAAATATTACTCCCGTATAATAATCAAGACCCCTTGCAAGGCTCAAGTCAAACACTACTTTATTGATGCATTTTGACTTTTCAAGAGCTTTAAACAAAATCTCCAACTCATCTAATGCAAGTGCAGATTCACTGTTCTCCAAAAACTTGCTGCCCTCATGCTTAAGCTTTTGCAGCAATTCCAAAGGAGATCCCTTTTCTTTGACAAACGTGCCAATTTTGTCTGCCGTCTCTTCACTCAACCCTTTCTCACCCACCTATTTCAAGAAAATGATTAAGGTAAAAAATGTTTAGGAAAACAAGAGTGAAAAAGAAATCATACAATTTATACAGTAATTTGCTTAGATAAATTGATTGGCAAGAACTAATATGATATTCATGGATATATATTTTTCGAGATATGTGAATGACTATTGTTTGCCCTGCAAAGTTTTTTGATGTAAATTCTAGGCAAAAAATGAGTTCATGCCAAAAAGAGAAGATCTCACCATTTCTTTTTTTATCTGCTCAAAAGATTGTTTGTCTAGCTTGTCAATACTTGAACAAATAGTTCTAAATTTCTCTTGCGGCACCCCACATATGGCTAACATTCCATCAAGTAACCGTCTGTGGTTCAACTTCACCTGGACAACAGAAAAGACAGACATGATTTAATCATTTGACAAAGGAAACTTACTAATATCTAACACAAAGTTTCCTTGCACAAATATGATATCAGTTTTCCAAATAATTTATCCTTTATTCAGTAGTGTTGGGTTTGGTCTAAGTCAATCCCAAAAAGTTACTCAAGAGGTGGGGAGTTTACCCCCTCACTTATACACTCTTTACTAGATTCGAACCCACTATAATAGACACTCAATTTTGAATACTCAGCATGATCCCTCAATCGAAACTGGCTCCCAAACAGGCTGCAAAGAGTGATATCCCGATATGGCAGATGACTCCCTACAAACCGGTATTGGATGACAATTTGATACAATGTCAAATGGAGAATAACTAAACTCGAAGGAACCTAAAGAGGTAGGGTTTAGAATGATTCAAAGATAAGTAAATTCAAACAAATATTACATATACATAGCACATGGCTCCTAGACCAGATAATTCAAAGATGTACAAAGCTACCCACATCAATTGATTGATTAATATTAATATGGCTTAGTTTACAAATCTTAAAGCTATAAAATATATATATGAGGGATACTCCACAAATAGCAATACAACCTTTTGGTCTAGTACATAGCTACTTATGGAAAACAAAAATATCAGGGAATCACAATGCATACTTATGGTCTTATTTAGCACCAGGTGAAGGACTACCTCATAATCCCCAATGTCAAGCTCATTTAGCAATTCCGTCAAAACTTTGATGACCTCAAAATCAGGACCCATCTTTTCAAACTGCCCAGCTATATCAAAATCGCATTGGTAGAACTCACGATACCTTCCTTTGGAAGGATTATCTCTTCTGTATACCTTAGCTATCTGATACCTTTTGAATGATGTAAGACCATTCATTGCCACATATCTAGCAAATGGTACTGTGAGATCATAACGGAGAGAGCAAAGTTCACCACCCTGTAAAAGAGAAAAAAATGAAAAAATATAGGGTCCAACTAGTAACTGCTAAAGTTTCTGTGTAGGACTGTATTTACCACCACCCAATCTACACGTTTTCAGTATAAGACAATTGCAGAGTAACAAAGCTTATATTGTCTAACAAAAGTACTATTCTATTTACCAATCTTTATAAATTGGTGTATTCAAGGGTAAGACTAGGCCACTTAACAACTTCCATCAATTTCTCTGATTCTCTATCGTGATTATATTGTGAATCTATAACAAACAAATGGTGTAGCATCATCAACATAATTATCAACACCTTATTCCCAACTAGTTGGGGCCAATGGCATTGAGTTTACCTTGTTAATTCATTCTAAAAAATCAATTAACACTAAATCCATGGGAGATTTTTTAAATAGAAAACTCAGAATCATATACTAATAAGAAATAACCAACTCCAATGCCTCTGGTTTCTGATATACAAATAAGAATAACATGCACACACTACTATGGACTAAGAATTACTCCGTATATTGCATTAACTTTGTGGGGTACGATGTTCTTGGAATTCTTTAAGTCATTAATATATTAATATATTAATATAAAAAAGCTTAAAAATTGACAAGCAGGCCATAAAAATAGTCATGGATAATTTCAGCTCTAAGCCATAAACTGATATCAAACCCTTACAAATAAGCTTATCTAAAGGAACAACTATTATACCTGGTCAGCAATATCATAAATCAACTTTGAGTCTTCTCCATATTTACCCATCAGAGTTTCTCTCAGTTCAAAAACAGGGGTGTCCAAAGTCGTAGCACCATGCCTTTCAAAAACATCGACTACTATAGAAAAAGCCTTTTCTCTAATAGCCATTTGTTCCTTTGCAAAGTCACGAGTACCCTGTAATGATTGTTCATAGTTTTGAGAATAAGATCACAGAGACATTCTAAAACTAAAATGCATTCAAAAATCAGAACATAGAATAAAACCCATAAACTAACAGTAAATAAAGATGATTTCAAAAAAAACATCAAATAAAGACAGCTATTGTTAAAATAAAGACTTTGTCTGTCTCGATGTGTTTGACCACTTCCTTTTTAGCCTGTGAACCAAGGATATAATGCTAATAAAAGTTACTAATATGCCCTTACTCTTCACTTATCTTGCCTACCCAAAAATACCCTGCAATTCGCAAGCATAAAATGCGCCAAAAACAATGCGTTCAAATGGAGCTCATTGTTGGGTCCCCATACCGATGATTCCTTCAAAACTTAAAAAGAACAAGACCACAGCTCCTGGTTCCTTCTCCAGCCGCCAAAAATGGAAAAATCTTTTTATAGCCACACTTCTGGCACTAGAAAGAGTGAGAATCAATGCATTCCACGTGGAAGTCATGTGAGCAGTGCGACCAGATCACTTTCTTCTTCATCCTTTGTTTGATGGTAGTTGTCTAATGTCACCACCACCCTCTCGGCTGGAATGGGGACTTGGGGGTTTAACTAAGGTTAATTAATGGGTTGGTAGTCGAGTGGGTAGCGTAGTGGGTGAATACTCCAAGTGGGTCTGGTTGGGGGGTACGTAGGCCAATATGACACATTACTTTTTAAGAACTGAGAGTGGTCAAAAGCACATTATGGGCTTCTCTTTAATGTTTTGTAAGTACTCCGTATAATGTTTAGAGACTACTTTAAGAGAGAACATTCAAACGAGCCCTAGATCATCTAAACAACATAAAATATTGCTAAAAACAAAGCAATAAAATCTAAGTGATTTAATTCTGCCTTAGTTATGCAAAATTCGTAGGGTGAACTAGGGAGCAAGAACGAAAAACCAGTTGGGGTTAAATACCTTTGGAATTTTAGGAAGCCTGCGGCTTTCATTACTTTCAACAATCTCTTTTACTTTATTTTGCAGAATCTCATAACAAATATTGCTGGGGTCCCATAGTAACAGAAATTTGTTTATGTACCCTTCCCAAAGAGTATCATTAGTCTCAGTAGCAACATTCGGTATCTGATCCATGAGGAACTGAACTAAAGCAGCAGTTCCCTTGCCTAACAAGATCTTATTCTTCTTGACCTTTTTCCCATTACTATCCTCTAATGGGACACTGCCTTGGGTTTCTTGTATTAGATCACTTCCCTTTAGCCTGAAAAATGCAACCATTGCCTCCCAAGACACAATATCCTCCACCATCTTCAACAGACAATTAACTCCATGAGCAAATGAAATATAATTTCGGCTGGTGAAACCAGAGAGCAAAGAGTCAAAACGTTCATGTAGTTCAACAACTGAAGGAGCCTTTGATTGGAAAATCCTTTGCAATTCCTCAGAAGCCATTCCAGACTCCAAAACAAGTTGGCCACGCTGTAAACTTATCTCTCCCAAACGCAAAAGTACCACTGAGTGATCAAACAAGATGGTGGACAAGACCTTGCAGGCCCCAGAGGAGCTTGCTCTGAAGGCAGAATTGAGCTGAGCCCTTGTCCTGGAGTGAAGGAGGCGACCGATCTCCTTGAAGTGGCCGTGTACCTCAGGAATATCATAAATTGAAGGGTCTAGGAGACCTTTGCCCACATTTTTAGAGCCGTTGAGGAAGACCCTCAAAGAGGCAGCCACCGAAGCATCATCCTTGGCAGTGGAACCATCCCCAGAATCGATCAAATCGAAAGAAGATACATCTGCACACAATGCCTCACATGACAGAGCAGCAACTGCATCGGAAATCAATGACAGAGCGGAAGACCGGTGGTCAACTATGGCTGAAACGGCAACCAGAACTGATAGCGGAACATCTAGAGTTGGGTGAAGCGCATTAGCAATACCATCTATAGCAACATCAGAATCACTATTTTCTCCATTCACAATCTCGGCGAGCTTGCCAGAAGCCGAGACAGGTACAGATGACGTGAGCAACAGCTTGTTCAGCAGTACCAAAGTCGAAGCCCGGACGTCACCGGTGGACAACACGTCACGAGGAATACGGTATTCGTATGTGGCGGCGGCAGGTGGCGGAGTGTTGGTGCTAGAAGCCGCGGACGTAACAGAAGCATCTACACTAACACGAGCAACCCCGATCGCGACCTCAAAGACGGAGGATGAGGACAGTGGCGAAAGTTTTCCGGCCAATGTTACCACGCGTTTCTCCATGGCCTAGGGTTTCTACGTCGCCGCACTCCCTCCGGTACGACGCTGTTTCTTCTCGCTACACAGGTACGCGGCTGAGGACTGGAACGAGCCAATGAACAATGGTGGAGGCTGGTTGCGGTTGAAACCGGCGTTTTGCAGTACGGTGGCGGGGCTAAAACTCGGCTGAAACCTAAATAGAAACCCGGCCCGAACACCTCTGGTTCGGTTGGATGGAAATGACAGAGGTCAGGTCCGGTCCTCGATTCCGTTGAATTCGAGTCTTCGAGTTCGATTCCGTTGAACTCGACTCTTTTCATATTAAGCTTAGGTTAACCATTGTGTGAAACATCAATTAATTTAATACTCCCTCTCTTCTCAGACTCGAATTGGATTAGAATTTTTTTTCTCTTTTTGGTAATTTTTATTAATTTGTGTGTTTTCATTGAATATTTAATAAAATAAAATATTCTTGTAACCTCTGTTTTTGTACTAGAACTTTTGACGTAGTTTTTTAATATGTAATTTTTTATTGGTATACTAATTTGTAAATTTAATGATTTCAAAAGACGAGAGATTTTGCATCGTAACTCTCAATTTGTAATCTAATTAGATACGGAGAGAGTATCATCCAACGATTTACGAGTATTTGTTTTTAAAATATTCTCGTCAAAAATCTTGTGGTCAAAAGAGGTCACATGCTCAAATTTCAGAGTGGCGTTGGCTCATGTTAAAAAAAATACCGTATGTATAAACAAATCTTAATCTCAACCTATACAAAGGTGTGAGGCTGTTTTGAACAGTATTCCCGCCCAAAATGAATGGGTCAGGTCACTGCAAAATGGGCTGGTGTTATTTGGGCTGCTTCGAGTGAGCCGATTATGGGTAATTTTCTAAGGCCAACTACAAGAGTTGTTCACTTTATGTCCAATCAGCAGTTATTGAAGTAATTTTTTAAAAATCTTTTTTTTGCTTTTTTAGAGACCCATGCATTGTTCACATTAATGAGGCGTGTTGGAGAAGACCACATACAACATGCTTTTATTTACATATGCACGGTTTTTTAAACCATTTGCCGGTAAATTTCACAAATGGTACCTGAACTTTAGCTGGAATTTCGAAGTGGTACCTGAACTTCAAATTCTTTCACAAAAATCCCTGAACTTACACAATCCTTTCACTAATGAGCCATTAGCCCGTTTCTAGGTTAACTTCCGGTCATTAGGGCCAAATTCGAATTTTATATATTTTAAAATTTTCAATTTGACCCCATTTCTTCTTTTCTTTTCTTCCACGTCCCGCCGCCGCCGCCCGCCGGTCAAAGTCGCCGGAAAATGAACTTTTTCCGATTCCGGCGGGACCAATGTCATTCTCTTCGTCTTGAGACGAGGATCAATAATATCCAAACCATTTTGTCTAATTTGGCCTGTAACTTCTCGAATCTGNGAATCTGAATTTTTCTACTCGAAAAAACCCTAAAATTCGAAATTGGATCCAAAATTGGGGGTTTTGCAAATCTTCATCAAGTCTTGCAATTGAGGAGTCCTTGGAGGTCGCCCGGATACCACGACCGAATTGGCGTTGGTGCCCGCCGTCAATTTCTCCAGATTTAGCCGGAAAAAAGAAAAAGGCGGGTCGGAGCGTTTTCCGGCCAACTCCGGCGGGCACCAACGCCAATTCGGTCGTGGTATCCGGGCGACCTCCAAGGACTCCTCAATTGCAAGATTTGATGAAGATTTGCAAAACCCCCAATTTTGGATCCAATTTCGAATTTTAGGGTTTTTCGAGTAGAAAAATTCAGATTCGAGAAGTTACAGGCCAAATTAGACAAAATGTTTTGGATATTATTGATCCTCGTCTCAAGACGAAGAGAATGACATTGGTACCGCCGGAATCGGAAAAAGTTCATTTTCCGGCGACTTTGACCGGCGGGCGGCGGCGGGGCGTGGAAGAAAAGAAAAGAAGAAATGGGGTCAAATTGAAAATTTTAGAATATATAAAATTCGAATTTGGCCCTAATGACCGGAAGTTAACCTAGAAACGGGCTAATGGCTCATTAGTGAAATGATTGTGTAAGTTCAGGGATTTTTGTGAAAGGATTTGAAGTTCAGGTACTACTTCGAAATTCCAGCTAAAGTTCAGGTACCATTTGTGAAATTTACCCACCATTTGCAGATGATATTTATTACTCCCTCCGTCCCTGAGTGTTTGTCCACTTTCATTTTTGCACACCATCCAATTGCACTTCTTTAATCCATTTTATCTTGTAATTTATATATTAAAAAAATATAAAAATTATATATTAATAATCTATATGTTAAGACGAATCAAACAAAATCACACATGACTATTTTTAAGCTTACACATTGAGAGAATTTGATGAGTCAAAGTGTTTAGATGAACAGTTCCAAAAGTCAAAAATGGACAAACACTCAGGGACAGACCAAGTACAAAGATTGAAGAAATCTTAACTTTTTATTTGTAGAGATACATGCATCAATTAATAATTATATACTCCCTCCGTCCTAAAACTTTCTTCCCAGAGCACTATTCCAACTTCACGGGAATTTATATTTATTTGTGTTTTTCATGGCCTATATGATAAAATAAAATATTCTTATCACCACTTGTTTTGTTGAACTTTTGATGTAGTTTTTAAATATATATGTTTTATTTTTTATTTCTATACCAATATTTAAATAAAATAGATTGAAAAAACTTGGGATTTTTCTTCATTTTGCGCAACGGGAAGAAAGTTTTAGGACGGAGGGAGTAACACAATACCAATCGTCTTCCATATGTAATAGTTCAATTTCCTGACTTTATATAGAGCAGAGTGGCCTATCACATTATTTCATGTAGCTTTATTTCATTGAGTACATTTTCAAATCTTTCTTTTCTTAAAATAAATAGATTTTTAAATGCTTTATTAAAATGTTCTAACCTACCCCCTTGTGTTGTATAAATAAACCATAACTCCAATACAAACCACAAAAGAAGCACCCCAACATCCCAAATTGAGGAGGTATTATTTTTGCATTAATCAAATTACATTCTTGGATTCTTTTGTTTCTTGAAGTCCCTGTCCACTGCAACCATAATTTAGAAATGTCGTCTCTTTTCAGAATCTTAGTCAAAAGTCATAGTCAGTATTGTTGTGTTGTCTATCAAGCCGGCGTCAAAATATATCATTAGAAACGTGAAATTACACTTTTATTTAACAACATAATAGAAAATCAAAAAAAAATTGTCCATTTAGAGGTGCTCTTTAAAGGACCACGAATGTAATATTTAATAATAAATAATTAAATATGAGAAAACTCTGGTTATAAAAAACAAATTATAAAATTTATTCTTTTGAATACAGCAATATGATCAACATTTTATGAACCAAAAATTCACATAAAGCAATTTAGATTTCAAATCCAGATTTTGTTCGGATTACATATTAGAAATCTCAAACTTTCAAAGCAATCTCTCCATCATCAACAAGAAAAACTATTACTCCATCTATCATATTTTATAATCATGTTTTGGTTTACGTTACCGGATTGATATTATTTTTAATTTAATGTATTTAATAATTAGAATAAGATGGAAAAATAACATTACTTATTTGAAAATTGTATAAAAGTCTTCAAAACAAAAGATAACATGATTATTGTTTTTAATCAAATAAATAACAAAAATAGATAAAATAAGTGAATCAAATTTTAACTTTATGAACAGTAAAAGACATTACAAAATGGGAGAGAGAATAAAAGACTGTGATCTCACGCTTGTGGAGAAAAAATATCAACTCGATATTATTTCAAATCAGATTAACATAGCATTAAATTGAAAAATGAGTTTTCAAATTGCTCCAATAAATTACATACCTCAAACCAAATCACATCGTTTCTAAAAATGATACATGACAGGTTTTCAAAAAATAAAAATCAAATGGAAAATGTCTTGAATTCACTTTAGGTCTCGGTTTCGAGTTTCACCATATACAGAAAATCCTCATATAATACATCTCAAAATATACTCAAAAGATATCATGAAATGAGCTTGCTATAATACATCACATTTTTTATGGGGATTAATTTCACCAGAAATATGTTGTCAATATGAAAACCAGACAGTCATGGACGAAGCGAAAACATTTCGGTTCCTCACAATTTTGTCTCTTCCTAAGCCTACTAGAACTTATGTACTCCCTGCCCTATATTACACGAGTCATGCTAAGATGCCCCGAAATGGTGCCCAAATTCTACCCTTCATTTTTATTTCAGAGACACGGTTTCACAAACATAATTATATCTGTGAATGTATGTGAGACTCTATAAGAGAAGAATCGGGACACGGTAAATATTGGCACCATTTGGGACACCCTTAGATTTTCCATATTACATATCACTAGTTCAATATTGGAGTATGAGTGACCTCGGTCCACTTTCCTGACATTCACTGTGACCGCTTAGATAGATTTCTTTAAGGTAAATGTGTTTTGCGCATTGAAAAATTGCTTCCGATACTAAATTTCTTAATGTGCAAAACACATTTTGTTTAAAGAAATCTATGTAACCATAGTGATCATTAAAAAGGGTAGACTGGTATTACGGATCCTAACCGGTGGGTATCCCTCAAAAATCAGAGCCATCTGTTCTACAAGAAGCATTAGGATCCTCCCGCTGGCCCACATTCGATCTTTGAACCAATCGGAGAAGTGCTTCCACCACTTCAGATACTGGTGGTCGAAATTCTGGTTCAGGCTGTAGTCCAATTGTATCAAACAGAATAAAATATTACCCCGAGTAAAACTTTTATTAGGAAACAAAGGGAGGGGGAGGGGTTGCAAGTTACTGAAGTCTAACCTGAACACAGAGAGCAACAATATCTGCAAACCGAGAGATTGCCTTGGGAGGGTATAGTCCTCTAAGTGCCGGATCCACCATTTTTTCCAGGGCATCAATGTCATGAAGCTGCGGGTATGCCCATCTCACCAGAGCCTGTTCTGTTCTTGGCTTTGAACTGTATCAACCCACATATTCATGTTAATGTCTTCAATTACACTAACTAATCAGAGCTAAGATAGATAATCATAAAATAACACATTAACACGTATTGGATGATGAAGAGAAAATAAAAGGAGTGGGTGGGGAGGTGGTGCACCTGTCATGTGGCTTTCGTCCGGTTAACAACTCTAACATGACGACCCCGAAACTATACACATCACTCTTCATCGTGTAATCTGAAGGTTTTGAGCATTCAGGAGGCTTATATCCGGTTCCCAAGTTTTGGCTTGTACTCTGAAAAAAATATGATTTAATTTTAATTATTTTTAAAATCTTTGTCTGTCCAACTTCATATTGGGCTGCTAAAATTTTCTCAGATGAACATAGATAAAAACTTGGTGAAGAAGTAGAGACATAGAGTAATAAACTAAAACAGATTTCTTTTAATATTACTGACAATACTATAGAAACTATCCTAACTCATCGTTGTCTTGTGATTTTTTTTCTCAAGTGGAAATAATCTATGATGGTGATAATTTTTGAAATATTAAGAAGTTTTGTGACCAAACGGATATCTGGCAGTGTTGGTTGTGTGAAATGATTGAATGAATGTTACTGATAGGTATTCCAGACACACCGTTTGAATATTCTGTATTTAAAAGGACAAAGCTGTGTTTAATCAATGAACAAAAAGAATTTTATCTATGAAAACTAAAAATGGAAGCTACCACTTTTTGTCATTAAGTGGGAAGTGTAGTATAACATACCATTATTGAAATCTCCCGGAAAGACAAATCAACAGCTTCTATGGATTTACATACCTCATAAAGGCTTTCCATGCCACATTCAGAGAGATGAGGATTTAGTTCAGTGTCAAGCAAAATATTTGACGACTTTATGCCCTTGTGAATGCAGGGAGGTGAGCAAACCTCATGCAGAAACCTAAACATAAAATACAAAATAACAAATTCATTTGTGACAGAATATTGAATGATGTAATGATAAACTTGTCAAACACTCAATCCAGAGGAGATTCAGAGACAAGCTATGGTTTTTTTAATACACTTTTGACAAAATACACTCCACAACATTAACTTCAACAAACATCAGACAAAGGCAGTTAAGCCCATTAACAAAATTTGAACCAATGCATGAATGACAAAAAGAATGCCCTAACTACAACTTACTCGACAGCACGAGCTGTGCCTAAAGCAATTCTGACTCTTGTGTTCCAGGTAAGTGGTTTGCTGAAGTCATCCGACAAGTGTAGGAATTCGTGAAGCGAACCATTCCTAAAATAGTCATAGAGCAACATGTTTTGTCCCTGTTCTGAGCAGTAACCAACAATTTCAGCAATATTTGGGTGGTGAAGCTTGGAGATGTTTGCAACTATTTCTGAGAAATCTGCACCCCTACCACCTCTAAAATGAGATGAGTCTATCTTCTTTACTGCCAGAACCTGACACAGAAGACTGATTATTATTATTATTATTATTATTATTATTATTAGTAGTAGTAGTAGTAGTAGTAGTAGTAGTAGTAGTAGTAGTAGTAGTACTGCTGCTGCTACTATTTTTATTTGTTATTATTATGGAGTGTTATTATTTGTGAGGGTTGGTGGTATTAAATTTGAAGTGCCAATTAACTTTATAGAATTAGTAAAAATTATTAAAAAATGGAAATATTCAAAGTATTAGGGGTGCGGATTAATAATGTCCTATTTTGGATGCCTTCTCAGTTGCAAGTACTACATATAACGTATAAGTTAACACTAAAATTAACTAAATATTATTAATGCTCTCTCCTTCCCAAAATAAGGTTCTCATTTGAATTTTGAGATTGTGCAACACTTTGACTATTAATTATACCCATACACCAAATGCACACACAAACCCATAAATAAACATGATAAAAATTATCTATGTCAAAACTAAATGTCAAAATAAATCTAATATATTAAATTATCATAATAATTTCCATAGAAATTTCTATCTTTCTACATAGAATTATAACACATTAAGAAGTAACCATAACAAAAGCAGATGAGCAAAAGAGGGGTTAGCAGTAGGAAGGTGCAACAAGAAAAAAAGATCAACATGGACAGACAAGCTCTAAAATATGCATGTGAGACATGATTGTTCATGGTGTGAGAATACTAACCATTAGGATAGTACATGAATATATACATTATAATGGAATTCCACCTTGTTACCCAGTTAAAGGGGGCAGTTAAAGGACTAAGTAACGGAATAGTAGTAAGTAGGCATACCCTCCCGTCTCGAAACTTTGCCCTGTATACTCTACCAATTGATCCCTCCCCAAGAAGACGGCCATTTGCAAAATTTCCGGTGACACTTTGCAAATCGGCCAAAGAATAATATGTGGCCTGAACTGAACCACCTATTTCAACATTCAAAAGGTCAGGTAACTCCTTTCCGTTGAAAGACTTGAGGTGATCTGAAGGCTTACGGCCCATTGAAGCAGACGTTTGTGAAGTTTTTACTGAGATCGTGGATGAAGCATTTGAAGATCTAATTTCTGTCACCAAGTCCTTCACATGTTAGCAACAACAAAAAAAGCAATACTGCAATGTGGAAGCATCAATTTTTTTAGCAATATAAACTCTATTACAAAGCCTGAGGCTCAAACCTATGACCTCCAATTTGGAAGTATAAATAATTGAAAGGAAAGCCCATGAACTCAAACTTCCCTTTCATGGGATATGAGAGAAAGGACACTCAAGAACGAAGCCATTGTTTCTTGGACAAAGATCAACGTTAAATCTTGACCAGCTCATGAAAGAACATTTAAATGAAAGAACAATTTTATACTACTTTCACATTATAAATAGTCCGGTTATTCCTCTGTCAGGCTGGCTTTTTTCACTTTTCCTTTTTATCCGCCTCAAAGTATTTTCTAGTTTCCTTTTAAAGAAAGAAATTTGTGGTTCCTATTTTTCTCTTTCTTCTAAATAAATGTCAACCACACATTTTCTATATTTCTTAGTCTCCGTGCTAAAAGCTAATGGAACTCAAAAATTTCCATTGGGATAGATAGAGTATAAAAGGGGAGCATAAAGCTATACTATTGGACAGATAAAATTACAAATATAGTTCATTCGCTGCGTACATCCGACCCCCCCTTACCTCGCAATGGGCGGGAGCCGTCGAGGTATTGGGGTAATGTTACTGTTGTTGTATATCAACTGTTACACTATGTGTGGTTCAATGAATTAGGAAAGAAAGAAAAATAAAATGATTTCTCTCTTTTTCCTCACCAAAATGAAAGGAATAATGTTTTCCCTCAGCTTATTTTTGCTTATCCTTCTCATTTCCTTTCTATTTTCTTTTCCTTTCCTCTCTAACCAAACTTGAAAAATTGGTTTCCATGTCATTTTCTTTTCTTTTACCTCTCAAATTGTACCAAACAGAGTGTTAAAGAATCAACTCAACTAAAAGATCAAACTTGTGATCGGAGGCAGTAGAAATTTTTATACTCTAACATGTCCCTCACGTGAATGCAATGTTAGTTTTTTCCAGCTTTGCACGTGAACGTTATTTTTTTAAAAGTGGATGGCGGAAAGATTCAAACTCGTGATCTCTAGGTCAACATGACTTTGATGCCATGTTAAAGAACCAACTCTGTCAAAAGCCATACATAAAACAATGTTTTATACTCTAAAAGTAACAAATTGTATGCTACTTTTGGAAAAATATAAAGTATTTGATCAGTTATTCCTTGGTTGTTTATAGTGTGTTTCTAAATGTTCTAAATGCTATTTACTACCCACTTCATGAAAGAGTTCCCAACAAATATCAGCATCATTACACTAGTTACTACATTTTGTATTCAAGAGTTCCACGAAAAAAAAATTCCATATGTGTCTGGTGTCACTTCAACATGTTGGAAATTTTGATCATAATGGAACACTGTTAGTGGATTCTCAAGGGAAATATAAGTTTACTAAGCAACAGTATTTTATAACCTTATTCACTTTGTAAGTATGGTCAAGCTTAAATGTCAGACTTTTGGCAGCCCTAACTAAAATTCTCTGGAAGATCCTAATATAGAATAAAGAAAAACACCTCTATGTTTGCATTAATAAGGTTAACATATTCCATTTTTTAAATATATTCTTTTTAACTATCTTTACTTTCCTTTTCTTTTACAAGTTATTGATTATCTTTATTTCATAACCAAACCATAAGGAGGGAGAGGATATTTCAGAGGACACGAGAAACTACCTCTGAATCCCTTGTGCATATCAGGGAACATGTTAATGGATGATTCCTGAGATGAAAGTGGAGAAATTGGCCCGTGTTGGCTAAGCTTATCATCTTCAAAATAATGTATGGAAGTTGGTGAAGATCTTTTAGAAAATAGAGCAATTATAATGCTAATAAACAGCAAAACACCCATAATTATCCCGGCAACTGCCATTCCACTCAAGCCAGATCTCTCCTTCTCCTTTGATTCCTTGTCTAGTTTCTGCCCAGGAGGTGGAGGAGCTGGTCCAGAAGACCAAGAATTTCCTCCGGTCCTAAAAATAATAACCTCAAATACATCATCACATGAGTGAAAGAGTGTAGTTAACAACAGTTCATTAGGAGTAAGTTATTTACTCACTCAATATTATTAATGCTTTTTAACTCTTCCGGAACCCATCCTGTAAATTGGTTGTTTCCTACATTCCTGCAAGTATTTCCCTTTTGTATATTAGCCTCTTCACATAAACAACTTAATCATTATTGCATAGAACCCTTTTACCATGAAACCTATAAGCATGTACATTAATTAGAGGCAAAATAATTCTCCCTTTGTCCTTGAATCAACTTTACACTTTCTTTTTTGGAATGTCTAAAAATCAACTTTACACTTCTCCAGTTTCTTTTTTAGGAAACATACATGTGGATATCATTCATTCTCTCTCTTTCAAACAAATTTCAACCACACTCTTCACTTTTTCCCATCTTTTCAACACTTCTCCTAATTTCCATAAAATCAAATTGTCATTCTTTCAAAGACGGAGGGAGTATGTACTCTAGACCTACCAAAAAAATTCATATACTATGAGACAGCACTCACAGCAGTATTTAAATGCGCAAAAGTGAAAACTGATAACACTTAAATACAATGACCATTCCTCAGAATAACAAAACTTTGAGAATCATCTAACTTACAGATCTTGAAGAGGGAGTTCAGCAAGAACATTTATTGATCCGGTAAATTTGTTGTTCTGTAACAACCTGCATGGTAACATGAAGCATAACAAAAAATTCACCCACATGAAATTATTCATTCCACTCAGAAAAATAAAAAGACTATATTGGCATCTTACAATACGTTGAGGCTTGAGAGGGACTTGAAGCTCTGCGGCAAAGCACCAGACAATGAATTGAAGGAAAGATCCCTGGGTTCATTCTCACTATTTAGACAGCCTCTAAGAAATTGGATTGATTAACCTATTTAACCCCTCCATTATAAAATATTATTCAATAGGTTCCTCGTGTTTGTACATAGTAATATTTAGTTCTCCACTTTGAAATTTGGACCCAATTTAGTTTCAATGCATATTTGGCTCAAAATAAGAAGAATATTTTATGTTCCATAAATTTAGACCCAATTCTAGATTCACTTTTGGCCCTCAACTATGTAATCTGGACCCAGTTCATCCTGAGTATACAAAAGTACCTGTCTTATTTAGAACAAAATATGCATGAAAACTAATTTGAGTCTGAATTGCAAGGTGGATGACTATTTTGAATCTTAAAGAAAGTCAATGATCAAGTTGTGTAATATTTATAATTGATGGATCAAATCACGTACTCCATACGACAACAACACACCCAGTGTATTGCCACATGTGGGATTTAGGGAGAGTGAGATGTACATAGACCTTATGTCCACCCGTGAAAGGTGGAGATGTTTTTGATAGACCATTTGCTCAGATGAACCAAAACATATATTGGCTTTTAATATTACGTTATTATGATTGATGAATATAAAAAGCAAGTTTTAACCAAGGCTTTGTGTTATTAACCGATAGAGAAAGATGAGTTAAACAAAACAAATATGCAACAGAAATGTTTGCAACACTTACATCTCCGTGAGTTTGGTAAGTTGTGTAAACATGTCGGACAGCGATCCACTGAGCTTATTATTATTCAAATGTCTGCAAACACCCACAAATATATATATATATATATATATATATATATATATATATATATGCAAGAATCTCAAGATCATTGATACTAAATCCACATCAAGACTAGGGAGTAAAAAATAAGAAAAAAGAAAGCTGCTGGAGATATGCACTTACAAGTAAGTGAGGTCAGACATCTGAGAAATTGAATAAGGCACACTTCCTGTAAATTTATTGCTTGAAAGGTCTCTGCATTCAAAGTTAATATGGAGTACATGAATAATTCATGATAGTAAGCATAGCAGTATCTGAACTTTATCCGCAGATGTTATAACAACAGATAAGCCAATTCAGAGCAGAAAACCTACATCATGGCATCTTGTCTGTGGATTCATACAGTAACAAGCAAAACCAACAGAATGATAACTACACCAAAAAGTGTGTAATATCTTAATTCCTGAGGAACAATTTCTCATGTTCAAATAACCATCAGAATGACATGAGACTCTATGCTTAAGCTGATATAGTTATTTAAAAATGATGACCATGCAAGCAAAGTTGTAAGAGTAGCATTTATGCTGGATCTAGAGAAACATTACGGTGTATTTTATACCTTTCCTTCGTCCATCTAGGTATATTTAGTAAAGAAATTCAAATTCTCTTTGTGCTAGGAACTTACAAGTGTTGCAGATTGGGAGGAAGTTGATATGGTATAGTGTCCTTCAGTTTGTTTTTGCTCACATCACTGTACTATGACATATAAATCCAAATTGTCAGGACCAATTGTTTCAGTGCAAAAAAATAAAATAAATTATTTTTAAGAATCTCTTATTTTCCAAGAAGTGTGCGGGCCTCACAAGTAGGTGACTTTGTCCAACTTATCAAGCGCATAGCCCAGTGATCCAGATAGATCCATCTCAGATAAATCACTGTAAGCAATTTTCAATACAAAAGCATTATCAGATAACTACATCCCATCAAAGTGCATGGCTCATCCCTAAATACTGCAATGCATGAGAAAATAAGTAAATCACTAATCACATAATGTGAAACACGAGTGAGAGGTCTACATTTCAGTTACGTCTGAGCCTGAACACGAGATACCCTTCCAAGAATCCCCACAAGGATCACCACCGTTTGACGTCCACGCATCTAGGTTCTCTCTGGATGAAGAATCCAAGCTCTGGTACAGCACATTGAGGGCAGAAACTACAGAATAACATCAAGGTGATTGTATCAGAACCTCTGAAATTTACAGCTAATCAACAGTTTATCTCCTAATAAAAATGAAAACAGCAAATTTTCAGGGGGTGATGCAGGTTAAAATTCCTCTGGAGAGAGAGAGAGAGAGGGTGCCCACAATTCCATGGATACCCTATAAATTTGTGCAGGTGTATTGCAAGGGACATTGAGGATTACCATGCTTGGAATTTGTTTCGGAGATGACCAATGTAAGAGAGAAGGAGCTCACTATTAGGAAAACCCCAAATACCAGGTTCATCCCCGTGTGCGTCGTCATCTTGTGATATTCTTCAGATGAATGGAAAATGGTGTTTATAAAGGAACACAATAAAACTGCTTAAACAACAAAGGATTTGAAAACATATTGATTAGGTAGGAGACAGAAACAAGACCAACAACGCATTAAGCATTGTTATTATTACTGATCACCCCACAATGACTCGTGGAATTGGGGCGGAGTGCGATAGGGTGCGATTTGTGCAGTGAATGAACGAAGATCTTTAAATAATACAAAGAAATCCGAAATTGTTAATTAAAAAAGCATGGAGAAGATGAATGGGAATGAAGATGCAGTGGAAATTGGAGGAGAAAGGGAGAAAATAGTACGGAAATGCAGCAGTCACGGCGGCGAGGAGGAGGAGGAGGAGGAGGGTTGGAGAAGAAACGAACCCCCAAAAATCCGGAGGCGTGGATAGTGGCGGAGAACCGGAGGCGCTACGGCCTTTGAAACAAGAGACCATCCTTCCCGGCTTCGAGCTTCTTCCCCAGCTCTGTCTTCTCCCGGCATCTTCGCGCCACCACACACCCCTCTCTTTTTATTTGTACCAGTTTTTTTTAATTTTTTATGTTTAGAATAAAATTTTCCACTCATTGTATTCTCAATTTACGCAATAAATACTCTATCCTATAAATCTTTTGACATTTTGACCTCACAAAATTTTAAAAAAAAAAGTTGGTGAAAAACTAAAAATATTAGATGAAAAATTTGATCTCAGTAATTTATTGTTTCACTCCCTCGTCTGGATTTTTATCGAACTAAATTTTGTGACTCTCTCAGATATTGTTACATCTGCATTACGCTAAATTTACAAAAAAAAATAAGTATTTTTAAACTATCCCAAATTTAATACTCTGTATAAAACATTAAAGTTGACACATAAGTTACATAAAATAAATAGAAATCATCCTAAATAAGACTAAAACATAGAGAAAAGTACCAAAATAGGACTTCATGTTTTTTTTCCCGGAATAGGATTTTGCACTGTTGTAATGTGACTTTGCATTGTGGTAATGTGGCAGTGTACATGTGCAAATTACTATACTTTTTTGGTAATGTATATGACCATGTTTGGTAATGTAAGTCCTATTTCGAGAATAAAAACATGGAAGTCCTATTTTGGTATATTTTCAATGTTTTAGTCCTAGTTTGTTCTTTCTCCCTAAAATAATTGGGTTTATGTTATTGGTTTTATTTTACAACTACAAAAAATAATTTTTTACGTGCTTGGTTTTATTTTACTATTTCAATTATTTTGCATAAAATAAATTATAATAAAATGGTATGTTTTTTACAATTTTAGTTTTCTACAAAATAATTGTAAGTAATTCTTATTTCTAAAAAATAATTATTATTGATTACATATACCTGATTTTCATTAAAAAGATTGAGTTAAGAATCTTGAAGTGAATTTAGGAGTTCAAAAACTCCGTTCCAGACCTTTCAATTTTCTATCCACATCAATGATAAAATCTGAAAAAGAGTCTTAAGTCTTAACAATCTCTCTCAAGATATGTTTTCTAATATTGCTATACAATTACACCTTATGGATATAAAATAGTCAATGCTTTTTTTATAAGATCAGTTTGATTTAAGTAAAAATAAATATATAAAAGTTAGCTTATTTATTGAAAATTCAAAATTTAGAGAATCTTGTCTTAATTTTAGAAATCATACAAACACATCAAGCGGGTTGACGAAAAAGATGAACAAAACAATAACACTTAGACGAGCAACAAGCAAATTCGCAACGCCTCAAACTGAAAATTTCCAGCAATAAGTGAGCAACTTGCTCAAAGTTATACAAAAGTCAGACAATATCATTCATTAATCTCTATATGGTCGACTCATTGGATCGTCGTCCCAAAATCTTGATGACAATGAGCACCAGCTGCTCTCCCCCTGGCTTTTGCTTCTTGCGAAGCACTTTGCTTCGCCGTAAGCTTTACCAAGATGCATAACACGGCGACCTTCATGCCAAAGTTGGAATGGCCACGGCACAAACAGACCGCGCCCCCTAAGACCAGAAATGCATTTTTCAACAATTTGATTGGTCGCTTACTCGTCACCTTCTTTGCGAAGGTTTCATGGGATGGCAATACGGGATGGAGGTGGTCCCTACTTGTGGAGGTTCCTGCTTGGATTGTGTTGGTTGTGCTGCTATTAGCTTCCAACTCGGTTGGGACCTTCAATTGAGAGCAAACAAAAAAAATGGTGGTAAGATTCATGAGTTATGATTAATGAACCCCTGCATTTAAGAAGTTAAGGTCCGTTTGGAATTTTGGATGGAAGGTTTTTTGGGTTTTAAAGGGAAGGCTAGGGATATCTCGATTATCTTCTCTTCGCCTCACCTGAAAAGATGCAGGCTTAATGGGCAATGTTACCTATATGTAGGGCAGAACGTTGTATGAGTTTTTTAAGATTTGATCTAGTTTGAGTGTTTTCTTTGTGTTCTTACTTGCTCGTGTTACTGTGCTTAACTTGTTTGCATGTTAACCTGTGCTCCTATATTTGAGCCGGGATCTCTTGGAAACAGTCTCTCTACTCCCAAGTAGGGGTAAGGTTTGTGTACGCGCACCCTCCCTATACCCTACTTCTTGTGGGACTTTACTGGTTTTGGTGGTGTTTTTGGTCTAGTTTCATCTAGCCTGAATCTTTCAGTCCGGTAACTATTCCATATTCCTAATTTCCTACATTGTAAAGCATCGTTACAGCACAAAAATGTATTACCTTCTGAATTAAAGTGACTGCACTCACGCCTGAGGTTAGTCGAGAACGGTCTACTGTTGAGTATTTGCGAAGTGCAGTGTGCATCTTGCAAATATAACTCCATATGCCCTTTGCAAAAACCAGCTTTGCCATTTCAACATTCATACCAGAATCTTCTTGGTAAACCATTTTGATCTCACAGGCATTGTTTGTACCCGAAACTGCACAAAAAAGCTAATGTTATATAATACTCATCCAGTCATCAACATCATGCTGGATTGCTGGTAGAATGACTACCTAAATTTTTGCTTTCGCTTTGCAGAGAAAGATGGTTTAGAGTCTGTTTAGAACTCGGGAAATGCCAGGAAAAGATTTAAAACTGTTAAATACATTAATCATATTCCAGTTTCCATGAGAAAATCAACAACAACAACAATAACAACAACAAACGTGCTAAAATCCCACAAAGTGGGGTCAGGGAAGGAATGTGAGTGTACACCTACTTAGAGAGTAGGGAGGCTATTTCCAAGACACCCCCAACTCAAAATCACAAAAGAAATAGAAAAGAAAAAACATGTAATGGAAATTAGAAAAGCAAAAAAGAGAAAGGAACACAAAAGAAGCAAGCACACACCTAGACACAACAATCTATAGCAACAAGTCCTACACAAGGTAGACCATACGGGAAAAAAATTCTCCAGGCATTTCCCATTTCCGTAGCATTTCCAGAACTCAAACATACCCTTAGTTTCCATATAAATGAGGGAATCCAATTCCATGGGCGAGAATTGAGCTTTAGATTCCATGGAAAGTGTGTTTCTGATGGTTTGAAAGTACTTTCCATGAAAAAGAGACAAGAGATCATAAACAGAAAGGTTGACCTGTGCAGAGTTTAGAAGGTAGTTATTATGCTACAAAACCAGTTTTCAAACAAAACATCCAGCCAGCAAAAGTTATGCAATGAATCTTACGGAAACAGTGGGGGGGTGGGGGGGGGGACTAAAAAACCCAACCAAAACGTCCAGTTGAGTTTTATCCTTTTATGATATTATCCATTTACCTATTTCTAGTATATACGGTTTCAAAGGAAGGAACTTCTTTCCAATGGTCTTTGAAGTTTTTTTAAAGAAGAGTTATATAGCTTAGGTAGAATAAAAACACCTGCCTGCCTTGATTCTCCAGCCAGATCTGTATAGTGCAACCTGCACATACTTCTTCTGTCTATGGACTAGAGGATGTTCACACTCCTAATCATTGCCACATGCAAAATTCATTAGACATGGCTAGGAACATAACACTGAAAAATGGCAGAAATCTACATAAGGAATAACAAACAGCAAAAGGAATCATGCACTAAACTCTGCACACACTCAACAGTTGGTAGCATTAGAAAGTTTTTTTAACACATTAGAAGGTAGTTATTATGCTACAAAACCAGTTTTCAAACAAAACATCCACCCAGCAAAAGTTATGCAATGAATCTTACGGAAACATGCTCTCTGTTTTTATAAAGTGTAAGTCGCGTGCATCTTGACCTCAAACCACCAATGGAGTTAAATTATACTGGGTTTGTTGTTGTTGTTGAAAATTAATTTTTTTCCATAAATTTTAAAAAGGATCAATTTTGATAAAAGTACAGACTCAAGGCAGATCACAGAGGAAATTCATTTTCATTTCCATGAAAAAGATTTTCCAAAGAGTTCTTTATTGAGATTTTCATGTTTTTGGTCAACTTCTGAAGTTGACATAATGACATTACATGCATATGAAATCCTAATGCAATACACATATTTCCAAAGAAGTGGAAAACTGATTTCTCAAGTCTCATCGCAAGAAAAGATTTTCCACTCCTCAACAGAAAACAATTTTCCCAGGAAAATAGTTTCCCTCATTTGGCCTACCAAACGCTGGAAAATGCAAAATAAGTTTTCCTGGAACATCAATTTGTGTGTACCAAACACTGCCTAAGTAAAAAGAACATAACATTTCTTTAGTGACATGAAGAAGTCAAACAAACAAATGCAAATGAGAAGAGACCTTGCAAAAACAGTAGAATGATCCATCGCTGCCTTCCCAGATTTTCCAAGCTAATACGTACTCTCTAGGAGTCATGAGGGGGAACTTCTTTACCATCCAGCCAATTTCAGTCCCACTGTCTTTGTCCACTTGTAACTGACCATGCATTGCTAAGGTTTTATCCCATGTTTTCCGGTAATCATTATCCATGTAAAAATCTCTCAGCACTTCAATGGAGCAATTTTCAAATACTGTAGTACTTAAATACTTATGAGGCCCATCCTGTAAAAAAAAAGAGGAGGAACTGTTCAACTTAGAATCCACTTCAAAAACACATATATGGGCCAGAGCCATTATGATCGGTGATAAAAGCTGCAGCTTGGTGAGGTTAAGACATACAAACTGCTTTCAGACATACTCCCTCAGGTCTTATCGATGAGGTGTTTCTAGAAGGATTTTTGGTCCTCTATACTAGATACTTGATGCTTTAGAGGTTCTAGAAAAGTTTTTTTTCCCAAAATGCTCATATTCTCAAAAGCTTTGGAGACTACCTTGCTAATCTTCTTTTTTACTTTTTAGGAGTAAAATTGACAAAAAGGTACAAATTTGTGATAAGTTTTACTTTTAACAAATTATCTTGGTTGGTGATGTTGGTATTGATGATGTTGGTGAAAATCCTTTATAAACAAGACCGGAGGGAGTACATAATGGATTGACTATTTTATTTATAGAGGCAATGACATAGAAGCCTTGGGTATGAACTTGTTGAAATTTGACTGTCTGAGTTTGTATAAGATACTTGAAACTACATATGTTCATCTGTCCTAAGGCATGGTTGTATAGGTGAAGATTTGAACAAAACTGTCATTTCAGGGGCAAAATATTAGTGTGCTGCAACAAAACATGATTTTCACCCCCCACTTCAGAAATGGGCCGTTCAGCTGCATTCCTAACAACTTCATAAAAGAAGTGTGCAAAAACAATTGAGCAAGAAGTATGCAGGACTGCAGCAATCCTTATACTACATCTCAGACAATTGAGCTCATGGCATGAAAGCTGGCACTAACACCTTTGGCTTACAACATTTTGCTGTGTAGGAAAAAAGATCTTCTCGCCGGTCAATGACATGTTCCCACCTTTCATTATCATGGAGCTTCTCGTCCACGTTTTCTATCAAATTCTTCAGGTCCAAATCAGATATGATTGTAGAAATCCTGCATGGGGTTTCAAGTGAGAAAATAATCTCTGTAATAAGTATCCACAACAAAAAATGAATTGTAGCGGGCTTTGTTTAACACTCAGACTTCTTACTTCACTTAGAGACTACCTCAATGTTTGGGAAGAGGCAACCAGAAGGAGGTGAAGTCAGTTTCACATTGTACCTCGATTGACCTTGTTAGGGTTTAAACCAATGTATGATGAGGACCTAAGGGCTAAGGTAGTCACTACCTCGTACTCATATTTTGTTGCCGCTGGATATGAGGATAACTGAGGCAGGCAACCATCTGGTTCCTCCCAACCTATTACTGTCTAACCTAGTTCCAAGGGTCCAAACAACAATTGCTACATACCTACCTTCATTTAATCAATAACTAGCAAAACAACTTCTTATGAAATATCAACTACATAGACCTACCTAACCTAATTGACCTCCTCCCAGCCATAACTAAGAATTCACAATCTCCAAGTGCACTCGTAGATGTAGAACAATAAAACAAACAAGAAAGATCACTAAGAATTCCTAAAAAAAAGTATCAGAAGTTCAATATCGACTAAAATAACTTGAATGCTTTTTTCGTACAACAAAGAACTTCATGAAAATGAAATACCTAGATTGGGGAAGAAGGGATGAAGAAATATGTGATGCAGGATCACGGATAGAGCCTGGATATGAAGGAGCAGCTCCTCGTTGGCCGCTTGATCCGCACAAAGAATGAGAATAATACAACAATGAAGACATGAGACGTCGGAAACATCGGAATTTGTTGAGCAAGTGGCAAATGAATATGATCAACGTAACCCCGAAGGTATAGGAATACGAAGCGCCATAGCTCCGAGTCCCTCTCACTGCTCCTTCTCCAACAACATTTCTTCCCCAGAACTTTTCCGGCGACGGAACCAGATACCCTAGTCCCGATTCCGGCGACAGCGTCCGACCCCAAAAAATCATTCCGGCAACCACGATACACTATTTGCTAAAAATCCTTAATTCGAGTTGGATTTAATTGGCGTAAGAACGATGGAATCTATGGATAGACTTCCCCGCCGGAATCCGAGCTCCATTCTGTTCACTTCTTTTTCCTCAGTTTCACTGGGAAATTTAGTTTGGGCGACGGTCCGTATTTTTTTAGGTTGGCCTAATATGATTGCATATTTATCACAGTTTCAAAAATCCAAAGATCGTTAGCAAAAAGTTTTCTTAGAATATTATGGAGTATTGTAAAAATATTAAATTTATGCAAGTGCAAATTATAATCAATTAATTTTAAATATTCTTATAAAATTTCGAATTTCTCACAATATTGTCATCAAATTTTTCCCTTTTTTAAATGCAAATGATAACATTAATTTCAAATATTCTAAAAAATATATACTCATAGTCTATCCACTCATACCCAATGATACTAAATTATAGACATGCATATTTCAACTTGAATCCCAAGAAACCCAAATCTAAACAGATTTGGAATTTATTCTCTTCAACTTATTATTATTAAAATCAGATCAAACAGATTTGAAACAGCTTTAAATACAATAGCAATCAGACTAAATCAAATCAAAATTTATTTCAATCATATCAGAACCAACCAGATCAGCTAAAGAGAAGAAGTCTTGTTTGCCAACTCTAATTTCAGAGAAACTGAATTAGAAGATATTGATAAATCCCGAGCAAAAACATGTAAATAATAAAGGTAAAATGCAAACTGGGATTAATTTTTCTTAAAGGTTATTGCTTTTCAAGTGCAAACTGGGACAAACGTTGTGTCTATGCACACGGCACACCATGTGAAGAATACTGCAACGACAGTATATGCACAATTTCAAAAAATTCAAATCTATGGTGGGGCGAGGAAACAATTCATTCATATACCAGTACTTTTTGTACAAGCAGTAAAACTTTTTCACCGCGATAAAAAGTAGTTTTCTTGTGAAACTTGGCTGGGCAGCTAAGTTCAGCACTGACATGGGGACGGGTAACGAATGAGGAAACGTCAAATTTTCCAATGTTTGAAAAATCAGTGCAACAAAATAGTGGGTAGAACCCCGGTTGGCTGCCCTCTAGCTCCGGGCGGGGGATGTAGTTGAAAAACTTTTCGTGGAAGAGAAATGTTCAAATAATCAGGTGTTTTTCTCAAGGACTGAGAGTGCTGGAGTTAAGTAGTTGTTAGCTATATCAGGTAAATGTGCAACCTGCAAGCAAAGTTTTGAGAGGAGGAAAAATAAAATAAAATGATTAAGTAAAAAAATGCAAATAATCTATAAAGTTTGGTGTGTTCCAATAATAATAACAAAATTTGCCAAATTAATACCCTCTCAATCACAAAATAAACTTCTCACTTTCGTTTTTTAGGTCACCCCAAAATAAACTATCACATGTTTTTTAAGGAAAGCATTGAATGATTTACATGATTTCCCTTTCATTAACATAAATCTCAACCACACAATCTCACATTTTCTTACACCGGGAAAAATCAAACGAGAAGTTTAATTTTGAATGGAGGAAGTACTAAGTCTATTTTAGTCTTCCACTAATAGTCCACACTCTAGCACTAAGTTTGGTTCAAGGAATTTGGAAGAAAACAAAAGAAAAAGATTTTCTCTCATTTTCCTCACCAAAATGGGAGGAATTTGGTTTTCCTTCATCTTAGTACATTTTTCTATCTTATTTTCTTTTCCTTCCACTTTTGTATACTTTTGTTCTTTAACCAAACAAGAAAAACTATTTTTTCATCTCATTTTCTTTTCTTTTTCCTTCCAAATTCCTTAAACGGCTCTTACTCTTGTTAGTTTTTGGCCATGTAGCATGATTTTTCACTTATATTTCTTGAGGAGAATAGCAAATTCAAAGGAATATAGGGAGAATGTCGGTTATGTTTGGTATACTTATCTAATAATATAACTCCATTAAACATTCAATTGAATGTCATGTCATCAAAAAGTTAAGAGGAAGGTTAACACTTGACAGTCTTAGATTATGGATCATTATTGGAAGACTAAAGCAAGCTTTGGATTAACCACAAGTCCACAACCAATGGAGTGAGTGAGAATAATTGTGCATGTGTCTCAACTCCTCGAGAGCTAGAATTAGAGTAGTTGAGTAAACCATTAGACCTTAGTTTTTTTCTTGACTTGTTGCCTAAGGCCAAGTTCTCTTCAACTTATTACTTATTACTTTTTCTTATTGGAATCAGATCAGATCAAAAATAGCAGACCAGATCTAATCAGAAATTATTCTAATCAGATCAGAGCCATCAGATGAAGAGAACATGGGCCCTAAGTTTGTAGCATGTGCATGTGTGCTCTCGGTGATTTGAGTCCAGTGTTGTGTTTATTGTATCTATGCTTTTGTATTGAGCCAGGGTCTCTTGGAAACATCCTCTCTACTTTCAAATAGGGATAAGGTCTACGTATACGGTATACACACCCTCTTAGACTGTCTTGTGGGGATTATACTGTGTTGTTTTTGTTTGTCTCAACTCTCAACTATTAGAAGGTTTGCTCATCATCAACCTAAGAGAAGAAAATGCATATAATAACAATGAATGAACTTACCAGCTCATAAAGCTCCTTCCCAGATTCAGACACATATTCATAACATACCTAGCATTATTAGTCAGGAAAATGAACAGTTTGTAAATTAATCCCATTTGAGAAGGCATTATCAGAAAATCATACATTATATTTTCTCTTTTATGAATACACGCTGTTGCGGTTTTGACCAAAACCTGTGAAAATTGTAAATTAGATACAATTTTTAGCCAACTCTTTAGAAATTTCCAAACTAACCATGAGTTTGCGAACTGGTATAGTTTGAACCAATTTTGTTGTGGGACAAAATTGAATGTCATGGCAAAGTTATTACGGAGTATTTGCTATGCACTAACAACTCCAAGTCATTTTTTTGCTTTATCCGTTCGATGAAAAGAGTTTCTTTTAAAAAGGTACAACCTTCTTTTATTCAAAACCTTTTTTGGGACAGAGAGTAATCATTAGGATTATCAATCCAGAGTTCTTGTGGGGCACATTAAGGATTTAATTTAAAATGTGAGAAGAATATGATGGTTATTTGAGTTGAGTTGTCTGTAAAGCCAATTCTTTGAGAACTCAAGTGTTTCATGGATTGGCCAAACCTAAAACCGATATGTAAAATCATGACTAAATTATCAATTTTAAAAGAATTGGCCAAAACCACAAATAATTGGAAAAGGTCGACCAAAACTACACCAAACTAAATGGACACTTTTTTTATACCAAAAATCACAACTCAAAGGACTCTAAAAAACAAAGACTCACATCGAAACTTTTATTCTGGGCTGTTGAGTCATGCAACGCCTTCACACAGATATCTGCCACGTCAGCACAGCTGATAGCCTATAATACACACTTGTCATACAAGTGAGATAAGACTATTCCAGCAGTTTCTTAAGAGTAGCATATAAACCAACCTGGGATATTCTGTTTCCTTGGTCAAATACAAGAGCACGCTGGCCACCAGGTTCTTCCTGCAACAAATCATCATTGAAGTATTGAACAACTGCTCTATTTCTCACATTTTGCGGAGAAAAAACGTGCTCGTAAGTGTTTAAGAAGTAGTCCCATGTCCATGTTTTTTAGACTAGGAGTTCCATACTAAAAAGGTTAAACTCATATGGTTATTAGACTGGTGCCTTATATGGAGTAGTATATTTTATACTTTTTTACTTAACAATCTAAACAAACAACCACAGAGAATTTTCTTAACAGTTTTCAAATTGAATATTTAGCGAGATTAAAGTTAAGGAGCATTAAAATGTTTACCATTAAGGGACCAGGACGAATTATTGTATATCCAAGGCCTGACCTTCTCAATGATTCTTCTCCAGCCTAATAGAAAACAAAACTAAAGGAAATCAGAAAGACAAAATATAAGTAAAATCTTCAAGAGTTTAGAAATTTGAATATAGGTTATACCCTCTTGGCTTTCAGAACCTGCTCCCTCCTAGCAGGTTCTACTCCCAATCCTGTACATGAAACTAATACAAAATCTGTTTCTTGTCCACTCTGCAAATATAGGAAGAAGCAATTATGAGGTTTTAAGAATACATATCCAAGCATCAGGAATCACGCTTTTGGTTTTGTGTAGCAAGTACAAATGTTTCTTGCTAGGGATGTGAAATGACATGTTAACTCCACATTAGTATGCTCTTAGTTGCTTCGTGTCAAACTTGCATGGATTGTTTTTAGGCATCTCCTAATGAGCTTTGGTGTAAACATATACCCATGGTTATTCTTCCTTAATTTTCAAGTGTGTCGCTTGGGTTGATATCCCAGCATTGCTAAAGGGTAAAAGGAAGGTGACCCTACTTGAATGGATACACGGAGGGTTGAAAGTGTTGCATAGATGGGAATTCTGGACAACACACTATTCCCACAATACAGGTGCACTTACAGGCAAAGCCTTAATATATTCCAAAATTAATTGAAAGCATCTCAAGTCTTGTTTCGCCACATTAGATCCTTCATGTTGTCTCTGCAGGGAACAGAAATGAAGGAAAAGTTCAAGGAATCGCTCCAATAGTGAATTAAAAAGAATTAGCAGTTATTAATAACGAAGTTGGGGTAGTTTGCATGCAATTTATAGTGCCATATGAATGGCATGAAATTAATTCACACTAAATTCTTTCAAAAAAACATAGTGCGATATTTTGTCGGATTTCCTTCATGTTGCATTATGTATAAGAAGGAATCCGCTAGAAACATTGGCATGAAAAAAGATAGTGATCTCTTTGAAGACCGAACCTGCTTTTTTGGCTCAAAACGAATAGTTAATGTATGTACAAGGAATGGATCCAATGGTGGATCATCTGGTTTCAGAGGACGGAAGGAAGAAAATGGAACTCTCACCTGTGACAATATACAAGTTAAACATCGACAATAAAAAACCACACAAGTTTCACAAGGTTCGATCAACAATTAACTCACCCTGCAAAACCCTGCTTTTGTGTTGATTCTTGTAAAATAGATTTTGCTTTGAGTTGTATCTGCTGAAGGACCAGCTTCAAGAATTAAAATGTACGGCCGCCCATTCCCGCCAACAGAGAGCACTAGGCCCTCATACCTAAGCACCACATATATAACTTTGGGATGGGTTAATTCCATCGAAGAGGGAGAATTAATTTATTGCTGCTTCAGAAAAAATAATGTTAGTACAACACATACATATATTAGACTCAAACTAAGTACAAAACCAATCTAATCCGGGATGATCAACACCCCTAAGCCCAGTTCGAGCGGGAATAGAAGGGCAGACAAATGGCCTCAAACCAACCCCACGTGCAGTGCCCTGGCAGGCACCACGCGCAGTTTATCTCACACTGTTATAATAGACTCACAACCAATGGATACCTGATGTGGGATACTCGACCATAAATGTGAGAGATTAAGGTAGCATTGCAAACCTGTCAAGTGTGTACCCCAAAGGAAGTGAAAGCCTTTTTGACAATTCAACATACCCTCCTCTTGTAAAAACATACCCTATCATGCAACCAAAGTACACTAAGCATAAGATTAAGAGCCCATTTGGTAAAACATAGAATGGCTAAAGTGGCTAAATCTGCTGAAATTGTGATTGAAATGGATACAACTTCTGAATTGTCTTGTATAGTTAAGTATTTATTTAAACTTTAGTTTCTAAAATAAAGAAAAGAATACTCCGTATCTAAATATGAAGGTTGAAGTGTCATTTTCATTAACTTCAATCAACTAAGTAAAAAAACTTCTGCAATACTTTTTTTTATTATTAGCCAATTCAGCCAGCATAGTGGAATGAGTTGGTATTTGGTTAAAAATTTGATTGTTGAAGCTGATAATTGGAAAGTGGAATATTCTCATCCTACTCATAAAATGGTCTTGTTCGGCATTGTGATTGGAAACTGCATATTGCCTCTATATTCGCATATTTGTATGTGTGGCATTCCAGCTTATTGCTTCTCCAATCATAATCCGATGCTTATTGCTTCTCCAAATGCTAGTTCTTTTTTATTTTTTTGCAGTTTGAATACACCAAATATTCACTATTTTTGGGCTTTGGGGTATGATGGAATAAAGCAAAATGGCTCGTTAAACTCTCTGCGCTTCTTTTAGTAATGACGTGGCAGTTAGTCAATGCAATTTTTGACGCTCATCATGGCTCATCTAGAAACAGCTGCTTTATGACATAGGGGTGGGCTGCATACATGATTACCTGTGGGGCTTGAGTCGGGGGCCACTTTGGAAACAACCTCTCTACTTTCGAGTAGGGTAAGGTTTGCAAACATACACTCTCCCGAGACCCTACTTTTGTGAGATTCAATTGTGTTGTTGTTGTTGCAGTTTGAATAAACACCAATTTGATGCATATTGGTTATTGAATATGCAAAGGCTTATTGAATATGCAAGGGCTTGTTGCTTATTGAATAAACAGAAGCTGATTGCTTATAGAATAAGCAATGGCAAACAGGCTCAAGATATTTACACAGCGCCATAAATGAAGAGTAACAGCCTACTGTTTTTCTTTCCCATAGTGAGTGAATCTTCATCCATCATATACACTCATTTCACTATGTCAACTAGCAAAATACTGCAATAATATTGACTAAGTTGTTGCGTGCAACTGATACCTGAAAAAACAGCTTCTCCTGTGTCAGTAAACTCGAATTTTGCATCCATCCCTCCATCATATTTAGTAGCAACTGCATCTTTGAAATATGTCCCCGCGCGTACTTCCCACCCATTCAATGAATTTTTGGACTTGAATTTTGTGATTAAAAGCTTGCTTTTGCTGCTTTTCCCTGCCCGCAGTTGTGCAAGCTTGTGATTATAGTCCTACATGCATATGGATTAGTCGTTGTGTGTCTTTTTTTATTTTGTATCATTATCATCCCGCCCCAAATATACTCAAATAAGCATTCTTTAAAAGAAAAATAAGCAGCTTCCATATGCAAATGTGCAGTGTTTAGGAAAAAGGATCTGAATAAAAAAAAGTTGCACCGTACTTTTAGCAAATTTTGAAGATTGCTCATTTTCCTCTAAAAGGTTTCGCATTTCCTTGTCGTTTTTAGTGTTCGTGCATTTTATTGTGAATGCATACATTTTACTTTGAACGATTAATGAATGAAAATATTGGACTGGAGGACATAAAGAAACTCTATTGAATGTGAGAGCATTAATGCATACATTTCCTTGAACGGCATTGATGAGAATATAAAATATTAATGGAGTACCTGGAGAGCTTTGGTAAGGTTGTACACCCCCTGACAATCAACTCTATTGAGATCCGCTGTGATGGTGGATCGAGCAGTTGCACAATAGATGATTTTATTGCAGCCTTGGACGGCATTCATGAGAGCGGAAGGATCGCCCACATCCCCAACTACAACCTCCACAGACCTCGGAAGCATTTCCTTCACAACTTCATCTGCTTTCCTCACCAGAGCCTTGACTCTGTAGCCCCTGAGCATGAGCTTCCGGACCACGATCCGGCCGACGCGGCTGGTGGCCCCGACAACAAGGACGGTGGTGTTCTGAGCCAATGGAATGGCGAATTTGCTGATCGGCCCATCCTCTCCTGCTAGAATACTAGGCGACGGAGTCTGACCTAATCCGGAGAATTTCCGCCACACCTCGTCGAAAATTTGGCGCGACCGACGCCCTAACCCCACCGGATTGACATCGTCGAGCCTCCGTATGACGGAAACTGAAGGAGAAGACGGCGATTGATCCTCGCTGCTAACACTGACAACTTCATTCTCATTCTCACCCTCCTCGATTGCAATCTTCTTCTTCCTCCTCCTCCTCCTCTTCCACCTCTTCTTCTCCTCCTTCCCATCCCCGTCCGGAGTAGAAGAAGAATCAGTTGCCCTAGAAACTACAACAAACCTGCTCAATTTAGCCGCCGGGAAACGGATTGTTCCGGTGGACGAGGAATCAAAAGAAGCGGGATATGATATCCATGTTTGATGATTGTTGCAGCTGAAGACTGCAGCAGTTAAAGCACTACTCATTTCCTCAACAATCAACACCTTTGAATGGATCAAATTCCTACCGAGCACTCGCTGATCGCCGGCGATCGGAACGACCGCGCCGTGAACCAAACGTTGCCTGCGGGTTGGCCACGTGTCAATTAATACTTCTTTCCTTATCCGCTTCCCGGAGTCTGTTAACGGGTGGCCGGGTGGGTTCGAAAAATGAAAATTTTTAAACCACTTGAACCGGGCGTAGCAAAAGGAAAAACATTTTTTATTTCTTTTTTTTTTTGCATAAAAAATAAACAAATACTTCAGGAAAAAAAGATCTTAAACATTTGCTTACTACCATCACTTATTGGTCCGCAAAAGATTGGGTGGACAAGTTTGTTCTTGATTTAGGACATTTGCAATGTTGATTTAGGATGTATACTACCTACTACAGGATTGCCGGTCGGCCTTCCTCCACTACAAGATCGTCGGTCGGTCTTCCTCTTCTACCGACGCAGCGGGAATTGAAGCCTCCGTTGCAAATGTCCTTACACCTAATTGCTCTTTGTATGTTGTCTACGAGATTCTAGCAAAAGTGTTTGTTAATCGGTTGAAGTCAATTCTGACTAATATTATTTTCGGGTCACAATCAATTTTTTTGTCCTGTAAGGTTGACTTCAGATAACATCCTTTTGGCGGATGATATGGGGCATTTCCTTTGGCGTAATCAGAATGAAGCGACGTGTTGTGTGGGTCTTGAGTTGGACATGGCCAAAGCTTACGGTAAAATAGAATGAGTTTTTTTTTGGAATTTATGGTGATCAGATTGGAGTTTGGTTATCACTAATTTGACCTTGTCATTATGTATCACTATGGTTCGTTATAGAATCCAAGTTAATGGGGATCCTATAGATGTTATTGTTCCTTCGAGAGGTCGGTCTCTGGCAGGGTGACCCGCTCAGTCAGTACCTTTTTATCCTATATACGAAGGGGCTTTCTTTTTTGTTGCAGAATGTTGAGCGGAGGAGACTGATTAATTGTGTTCAAGTGGCGCATAGTGCTCCCTCTATCACTCATCTTTTATTCACGGATGATAGCCTCTTGTCCTTGAAGGCCGCGTTTGAAGAGGCCAGTGAGATATTGCAGATCCTCTATGAGTGATGGTGTAAATTACCACGCAAATATTAAGTGTGAGTAATCGGAAGGGTTGTAGGTGGAATCACCTGTAACCCGGTTTGTTATTAATGATAATAGGAGTTATTACAAATACAAGCCGTGTAGGTTAATTAAAACATGCCTCACAAATGAGGCTTTTAAGGGTATTTATAATAATCCTAAGCACGTCAAGCACGTCTCTGATTATTCAACCGGTCAGGCAGCTGGCCGGCCCACCAGGTGCACTTGAGTAAATCTTCGGGTATTGGCATCTGGTCTCCNAACCCACATATTCATGTTAATGTCTTCAATTACACTAACTAATCAGCGCAAAGATAAATAATCATAAAATAACACTTATTGGATGATAAAGAGAAAATAAAAGGAGTGGGTGGGGAGGTGGTGCACCTGTCATGTGGCTTTCGTCCGGTCAACAACTCTAACATGACGACCCCAAAACTGTACACATCACTCTTCATTGTGTAATCTGAAGGTTTTGAGCATTCTGGGGGCTTATATCCAGTTCCCAAGTTTTGGCTTGTACTCTGAAAAAATACAATTTTTTTTTCTATCTTTGTCAGTCCAACTTCATATTGAGCTGGCAAAATTTTCTTTGGATGAGGAAACATATATAAAAACTTAATAAATTAAAACAAATTTGTTGTAATATTACTATTGTAATATGACATAACTATAGCAACTATCCTAATTCATCGGTGTTCTATGAATATTCTCTCAGGTGGAAATAATCTATGATGATGACAATTTTTGAAATATTAAAAAGTTTTGTGACCAAATGCATATCTGGCAGTGTTGGTTGTGTGAAATAATTGAATGAAGGTTCCTGATAGGTATTCAGGACACACCGTTTGAATACTATGTATCTAAAAGGACAAAGCTGTGTTTAATCCATGACAAAGAGAATTTTATCTATGAAAACTAAAGAGGGAAGCTACCACCTTTTGTCATTAAGCGGGAAGTGTAATATAACATTTACCATTATCGAAATCTTCTGGAAAGACAAATCAACAGCTTTTATGGATTTACATACCTCATACAGGGTTTCCATGCCACATTCAGAGAGATGAGGATTTAGTTCAGTGTCAAGCAAAATATTTGACGACTTTATGCCCTTGTGAATGCAGGGAGGTGAGCAAACCTCATGCAGAAACCTAAACATAAAATACAAAATAACAAATTTATTTGTGACAGAATATGGAATGATGTAATGATAAACTTGTCAAACACTCAATCCAGAGGAGATTCAGAGACAAGCTATGGTTTTTTTTTACACTTTTGACAAAATACACTCCACAACATTAACTTCAACAAACACCAGACAGAGGCAGTTAAGCCCATTAACAAAATTTGAACCAATGCGTGAATGACAAAAAGAATGCCCTAACTACAACTTACTCGACAGCACGAGCTGTGCCTAAAGCAATTCTGACTCTTGTGTTCCAGGTAAGTGGTTTGCTGAAGTCATCCGACAAGTGTAGGAATTCGTGAAGCGAACCATTCCTAAAATAGTCATAGAGCAACATGTTTTGTCCCTGTTCTGAGCAGTAACCAACAGTTTCAGCAATATTTGGATGGTGAAGCTTGGAGATGTTTGCAACTATTTCTGAGAAATCTGCACCCCTACCACCTCTAAAATGAGATGAGTCTATCTTCTTTACTGCCAGAACCTGACACAGAAAAATGATGATGATGATGATGATGATGATGATGATGATGATGATTATTATTATTATTATTATTATTATTATTACTACTACTACTACTACTACTACTACTACTAATAATAATAATAATAATAATAATATTATTATTATTATTATTATTTGTTATTATTATGGAGTGTTATTATTTGTGAGGGTTGGTGGTAATAAATTTGAAGGGCCAATTAATTTTTTAGAATAAGTAAAAATTATTAAAAAATAGAAATATTCAAACTATTAGGGGTGCGGATTAATAATGTCCTATTTTGGATGCCTTCGCAGTTGCAAATACTACATATAACGTATAAATTAACACTAAAATTAACTAAATATTATTAATACTCTCTCCTTCCCAAAATAAGGTTCTCATTTGACTTTTGAGTTTGTGCAACACTTTGACTATTAATTATACCCATACACGCACACACGCACACACAAACCCATAAATAAACATGATAAAAATTATCTATGTCAAAACTAAATGTCAAAACAAATCTAATATATTAAATTAGCATAATAATTTCCATAAAAATTTCTATCTTTCTACATAGAAATATAACACATTAAGAAGTAACCATAACAAAAGCAGATGAGCAAAAGAGGGGTTAGCAGTAGGAAGGTGCAACAAGAAAAAAAAAAAGATCAGCATGGACAGACAAGCTCTAAAATATGTATGTGAGACATGATTGTTCATGGTGTGAGAATACTAACCATTAGGATGGTACATGAATATACACATTATAATGGAATTTCACCTTGTTACCCAGTTTAAGGGGCCAGTTAAAGGACTAAGTAAAGGAATAGTAGTAAGTAGGCATACCCTCCCGTCTCGAAACTTTGCCCTGTATACTCTACCAATTGATCCCTCCCCAAGAAGACGGCCACTTGCAAAATTTCCGGTGACACTTTGCAAATCGGCCAAAGAATAATATGTGGCCTGAACTGAACCACCTATTTCAACATTCAAAAGGTCAGGCAACTCCTTGCCGTTGAAAGACTTGAGGTGATCTGAAGGCTTACGGCCCATTGAAGCAGACGTTTGTGAAGTTTTTACTGAGATCGTGGATGAAGCATTTGAAGATCTAATTTCTGTCACCAAGTCCTTCACATGTTAGCAACAACAAAAAAAGCAATACTGCAATGTGGAAGTATCAATTTTTTTAGCAATATAAAGTATAAACTCTATTACAAAGCCTGGGGCTAAAACCTATGACCTCCAATTTGGAAGTATAAATAATTGAAAGGAAAGCCCATGAACTCAAACTTCCCTTTCATGGGATATGAGAGAAAGGACACTCAAGAACGAAGCTATTGTTTCTTGGACAAAGATCAACGTTAAATTTTGACCAGCTCATGAAAGAACATTTAAATGAAAGAAAAATTTTATATTACTTTCACATTATAAATAGTCTGGTCATTCCTCTGTCAGGCTGGCTTTTTTCACTTTTCCTTTTTATCCGCCTCAAAGTATTTTCTAGTTTCCTTTTAAAGAAAGAAATTTGTGGTTCCTAATTTTTCTCTTTCTTCTAAATAAATGTCAACCACGCATTTTCTATATTTCTTAGTCTCCGTGCTAAATGCTAATGGAACTCAAAAGTTTCCATTGGGACAGATATAGTATCAAAGGGGAGCAAGGGAAATATAAGTTTACTAAGCAACAGTATTTTATAACCTTATTCACTTCGTAAGTAAGGTCAAGCTTAAATGTCAGAGTTTTGGCAGCCCTAACTAAAATTCTCTGGAAGATCCTAATAAAGAATTAAGAATAAAGAAAAACACCTCCATGTTTGCATTAATAAGGTTAACATATACCATTTTTAAATATATTCCTTTTAACTATCTTTATTTTCCTTTTCTTTTTCAAGTTACTGATTATCTTTATTTCATAACCAAACCATAAGGAGGGAGAGGATATTTCAGAGGACACAAGAAACTACCTCTGAATCCCTTGTGCATATCAGGGAACATGTTAATGGATGATTCCTGAGATGAAAGTGGAGAAATTGGCCCGTGTTGGCTAAGCTTATCATCTTCAAAATAATGTATGGAAGTTGGTGAAGATCTTTTAGAAAATAGAGCAATTATAATGCTAATAAACAGCAAAACACCCATAATTATCCCGGCAACTGCCATTCCACTCAAGCCAGATCTCTCCTTCTCCTTTGATTCCTTGTCTAGTTTCTGCCCAGGAGGTGGTGGAGGAGCTGGTCCAGAAGACCAAGAATTGCCTCCGGTCCTAAAAATGATAACCTCAAATACATGATCACATGAGTGAAAGAGTGTAGTTAACAACAGTTCATTAGGAGTAAGTCATTTACTCACTCAATATTATTAATGTTTTTTAACTCTTCCGGAACCCATCCTGTAAATTGGTTGTTTCCTACATTCCTGCAAATATTTCCCTTTTGTATATTAGCCTCTTCACATAAACAACTTAATCATAACTGCATAGAACCCTTTTACCATGAAACCTATAAGCATGTACATTAATTAGAGGCAAAATAATACTCCCTTTGTCTTTGAAACAACTTCACACTTTCCTTTTTGGAATGTCTAAAAATCAACTTTACACTTCTCCAGTTTCTTTTTTAGGAAATATACATGTGGATATCATTCATTCTCTCTCTTTCAAACAAATTTCAACCACACTCTTCACTTTTTTCCCATCTTTTTAACACTTTTCCTAATTTCCATAAAATCAAATTGTCATTCTTTCAAAGACGGAGGGAGTATGTACTCTAGACCTACAAAAAAATTCATATGCTATGAGACAGAACTCACAGCAGTATTTAAATGCGCAAAAGTGAAAACTGAAAACACTTAAATACAATGACCATTCCTCAGAATAACAAAACTTTGAGAATCATCTAACTTACAGATCTTGAAGAGGGAGTTCAGCAAGAACATTTATTGACCCGGTAAATTTGTTGTTCTGTAACAACCTGCATGGTAACATGAAGCATAACAAAAGATTCACCCACATGAAATTATTCATTCCACTCAGAAAAACAAAAAGACTATATTGGCATCTTACAATACGTTGAGGCTTGAGAGGGACTTGAAGCTCTGCGGCAAAGCACCAGACAATGAATTGAAGGAAAGATCCCTGGGTTCATTCTCACTATTTAGACAGCCTCTAAGAAATTGGATTGATTAGCCGATTTAACCCCTCCATTATAAAATATTACTCAAAAGGATCCTCGTGTTTGTACATAGTAATATTTAGTCCTCCACTTTGAAATTTGGCCCCAATTTAGTTTCAATACATATTTGGCTCAAAATAAGAAGAATATTTTCTGTTCCATAAATTTAGACCCAATTCTAGATTCACTTTTGGCCCTCAACTATGTAATCTGGACCCAGTTCATCCTGAGTATACAAAAGTACCTGTCTTATTTAGAACGAAATATGCATGAAAACGAATTTGCGTCTGAATTGCAAAGTGGATGACTATTTTGAATCCTAAAGAAAGTCAATGATCAAATTGTGTAATATTTATAACTGATGGATCAAATCACGTACTCCATACAACAACAAACCCAGTGTATTGCCACATGTGGGATTTAGGGAGAGTGAGATGTACATAGACCTTATGTCCACCCGTGAAATTAAAGGTGGAGATGTTTTCGATAGACCATTTGTTCAGATGAACCAAAACGTATATTGGCTTTTAATATTATGTTATTATGATTGATGAATATAAAAAAGCAAGTTTTAACCAACGCTTCGTGTAATTAATCGATAGAGAAAGATGAGTAAAACAAATATGCAACAGAAATGTTTGCAGCACTTACATCTCCGTGAGTTTGGTAAGTTGTGTAAACATGTCGGACAGTGATCCACTGAGCTTATTATTATTCAAATGTCTGTGAACACCCACAAATATATATAGATATGCAAGAATCTCAAGATCATTAATACTAAATCCACATCAAGACTACGGAGTAAAAAATAAGAAAAAAGAAAGCTATTGGAAATATGCACTTACAAGTAAGTGAGGTCAGACATCTGAGAAATTGAATAAGGCACACTTCCTGTAAATTTATTGCTTGAAAGGTCTCTGCATTCAAAGTTAATATGGAGTACATGAATAATTCATGATAGTAAGCATAGCAGTATCTGAACTTCATCCGCAGATGTTATAACAACAGATGAGCTAATTCAGAGCAGAAAACCTACATCATGGCATCTTGTCTGTGGATTTATACAGTAACACAGTGAAACCAACACAATGATAACTACACCAAAAAGTGTGTAATATCTTAATTTCTGAGGAACAATTTCTCATGTTCAAAGAGTTGAGTTCCTTTAAAAACATCAAATAACCATCAGAATGACATGAGACTCTATGCATAAGCTGATATAGTTATTTAAAAATGATGACCATGCAAGCAAAGTTGTAAGAGTAGCATTTATGCTGGATCTAGAGAAACATTACGGTGTATTTTATACCTTTCCTTCGTCCATCTAGTTATATTTAGTAAAGAAATTCAAATTATCTTTGTGCTAGGAACTTACAAGTGTTGCAGATTGGGAGGAAGTTGATATGGTATAGTGTCCTTCAGTTTGTTTTTGCTCACATCACTGTACTATGACATATAAATCCAAATTGTCAGGACCAATTGTTTCAGTACAAAAAGTAAAATAAAATATTTTTAAAAATCCCCTATTTTCCAAGTAGTGTGCGGGCCTCACAAGTAGGTGACTTTGTCCATCTTATCAAGGGCATAGCCCAGTGATCCAGATAGATCCATCTCAGATAAATCACTGTAATCAATTTTCAATACAAAAGCCTTATCAGATAACTACATCCCATCAAAGAGCATGGCTCATCCCTAATTTTTTCCCATTTTGTCAGTTGTTCTAAATACTTTGATGCATGAGAAAATAAGTAAATCACTAATCACATAATGTGAAACATGAGTGAGAGGTCTACATTTCAGTTACGTCTGAGCCTGAACACGAGATACCCTTCCAAGAATCCCCACAAGGATCTCCACCATTTGACGTCCACGCATCTAGGTTTTCTCTGGATGAAGAATCCAAGCTCTGGTACAGCACATTGAGGGCAGAAACTACAGAATAACATCAAGGTGTTTGTATCAAAACCTTTTAAATTTACAGCTAATCAACAGTTTATCCCCTAATGAAATGAAAACAGAAAATTTTCAGGGGGTGATGCAGGTTAAAATTCCTCTGGAGAAAGAGAGAGAGAGGGTGCCCACAATTCCATGGATACCATATAAATTTGCGCAGGTGCATTGCAAGGGACATTGAGGATTACCATGCTTGGAATTCGTTTCGGAGATGACCAATGTAAGAGAGAAGGAGCTCACTATTAGGAAAACCCCAAATACCAGGTTCATCCGCGTGTTCGCCATCATCTTGTGATATTCTTCAGATGAATGGAAAATGGTGTTTATAAAGGAACACAATAAAACTGCTTAAACAACAAAGGATTCGAAAACATATTGATTAGGTAGGAGACAGAAACAAGACCAACAACGCATTAAGCATTGTTATTATTACTGATCGCCCCAAAATGACTCGCGGAATTGAGGCTGAGTGCCATAGGGTGCGATTTGTGCAGAGAATGAACGAAGATCTTTAGATAATACAAAGAAATCCGAAATTGTTAATTAAAAAAGCATGGAGAAGATGAATGGGAATGAACTATGAAGATACAGTGGAAATTGGAGGAGAAAGGGAGAAAATAGTACGGAAATGCAGCAGTCACGGCGGCGAGGAGGAGGAGGAGGAGGAGGGTTGGAGAAGAAACGAACCCCCAAAAATCCGGAGGCGTGGATAGTGGCGGAGAACCGGAGGCGCTACGGCATTTGAAACAAGAGACCATTCTTTCCGGCATCGAGCTTCTTCCCCAGCTCTGTCTTCTCCCGGCATCTTCGCGCCACCACACACCCCTCTCTTTTTATTTGTACCAGTTTTTTTTTAATTTTTTATGTTTAGAATAAAATTTTCCACTCATTGTATTCTCAATTTACGCAATAAATACTCTATCCTATAAATTTTTTGACATTTTGACCTCACAAAATTAAAAAAAAAAGTTGGTGAAAAACTAAAAAATATTAGATGAAAGATTTGATCTCAGTAATTTATTGTTTCACTCTCTCGTCCGGATGTTTATCAAACTAAATTTTGTAACTCTCTCAGATATTGTTACATCTGCATTACACTAAATTTACAAAAAAATTAAGTATTTTTAAACTATCCCAAGTTTAATATAAGACATTAAAGTTGACACATAAGTTGCATAAAATATTTGGGTTTATGTTATTGGTTTTATTTCACAACTACAAAAAATAATTTTTTTCGTGCTTGGTTTTATTTTACAATTTCAATTATTTTGCATAAAATAAATTATAATAAAATGGAATGTTTTTTACCATTTTAGTTTTTTTACAAAATAATTGTAAGTTATTCTTATTTCTAAAAAATAATTACTCCGTATTATTGATTACATATATGTGATTTTCATTAAAAAGATTGAGTTAAGAATCTTGAAGTGAATTTAGGAGTTCAAAAACTCCTTTCCAGACACTTTCAATTTTCTATCCACCTCAATGATAAAATCTGAAAAAGAGTCTTAAGTCTTAACACTCTCTCTCAATATATGTTTTCCAATATTGCTATACAATTACACCTTATGGATACAAAATAGTCAATGCTATTTTTTATATGATCAGTTTGATTTAAGTAAAAATAAATAGATAAAAGTTAGCTTATTTATTGAAAATTCAAAATTTAGAGAATCTTGTCTTAATTTTAGAAATCATACAAACACATCAAGCGGGTTGACGAAAAAGATGAACAAAAGAATAACACTTAGACGAGCAACAAGCAAATTTGCAACGCCTCAAACTGAAAATTTCCAGCAATAAGTGAGCAACTTGCTCAAAGTTATACAAAAGTCAGACAAAATCATTCATTTATCTCTATATGGTCGACTCATTGGATCGTTGTCCCAAAATCTTGTTGACAATGAGCACCAGCTGCTCTCCCCCTGGCTTTTGCTTCTTGCGAAGCACTTTGCTTCGCCGTAAGCTTTACCAAGATGCATAACACGGCGACCTTCATGCCAAAGTTGGAATGGCCGCGGCACAAACAGGCCGCACCTCCTAAGACCAGAAACGCATTTTTCATTAATTTGATTGGTCGCTTACTTGTCACCTTCTTTGTGAAGGTTTCATGGGGTGGCAATACGGGATGGAGGTGGTCCCTACTTGTGGAGGTTCCTGCTTGAATTGTGTTGGCTGTGCTGCTATTAGCTTCCAATTCGGTTGGGACCTTCAAATGAGAAGCAAACAAATGAATGGTGGTAAGATTCATGAGTTATGATTAATGAACCCCTGCACTTAGGAAGTTAAGGTCTGTTTGGAATTTTGGATGAAGGGTTTTCTGGGTTTTAGAGGGAAGGCTAGGGATATCTTGATTATCTTCTCTTTGCCTCACCTGAAAAGATGCAGGCTTATTGGGCAATGTTACCTGTATGTAGGGCAGAACGTTGTATGAGTTTTTTAAGATCTGATCTAGCTTGAGTGTTTTCTTTGTGTTCTTACTGAACTCGTGTTACTGTGCTTAACTTGTTAGCATGTTAACCTGTGCTTCTATATTTGAGCCGGGATCTCTTGGAAACAGTCTCTCTACTCCCAAGTAGGGGTAAAGTCCTCCCTATACCCTACTTCTTGTGGGACTTTACTGGTTTTGGTGGTGTTTTTGGTCTAGTTTCATCTAGCCTGAATCTTTCAGTCCGGTAACTATTCCATATTCCTACATTGTAAAGCATCGTTACAGCACAAAAATGTATTACCTTCTGAATTAAAGTGACTGCACTCGCGCCTGAAGTTAGTCGAGAACGGTCTACTGTTGAGTATTTGCGAAGTGCAGTGTGCATCTTGCAAATATAACTCCATATGCCCTTTGCAAAAACCAGCTTTGCCATTTCAACATTCATGCCAGAATCTTCTTGGTAAACCATTTTGATCTCACAGGCATTGTTCGTACCAGAAACTGCACAAAAAAGCTAATGTTATATAATGCTCATCCAGTCATCAACATCATGCTGGATTGCTGGTAGAATGACTACCTAAAATTTTTACTTTCGCTTTCCAGAGAAAGATGATTTAGAGTCTGTTTAGAACTCGGGAAATGCCAGAAAAAGAGTGCTGAGAGGAAAATATATGGGAGAAAAAAGAAAATATTGTAGAAACTCAATAAATTACTTTTTAAATTTGATATTTGTTCAAAATCATTTTATGTATATATCCTGAATGTTTAAAGACTAAGAAATCTAAAGACATGCAAAACTGTTAAATACATTAATCATATTCCAGTTTTCATGAGAAAACCAACAACAACAACAACAAACCCGCTAAAATCCCACAAAGTGGGGTCGGGGAATGAGAGTGTACACCTACTTAGAGAGTAGGGAAGCTATTTCCATGACACCACCGATTCAAAATCACAAAAGAAATAAAAAAGAAAAAACATGTAATGGAAAATAAAAAGGCAAACAAGAGAAAGGAACACAAAAGAAGCAAGCACACACCTAAACACAACAATCTATAGCAACAAGTCCTACACAAGGTAGACCATACGGAAAAAAACTTCTCCAGGCAATTCCCCTTTCCGTAGCATTTCCAGAACTCAAACATACCCTTAGTTTCAATATAAATGAGGGAATCCAATTCCATGGGCGAGAATTGAGATTCCATGGAAAGTGAGTTTCTGTTGGTGTGAAAGTACTTTCCATGAAAAAGAGACAAGATCATAAACAGAAAGGTTGACTTTGGAGTGGGTGGGGGGAGAGGACTAAAAAACCCAACCAAAACGTCCGGTTGAGTTACATCCTTTTATGAAATTATCCATTTACCTATTTCTACTATATACAATTTCAAAGGAACTTGTTTCCGATGGTCTTTGAAGTTTTTTCAAAGAAGAGTTATAGAGCTTAGGTTGAATAAAAAAACCTGCCTGCCTTGATTCTCCAGCCAGATCTGTATAGTGCAACCCGCACATACTTCTTCTGTCTATGGACTAGAGGATGTTCACACTCCTAATCATTGCCACATGCAAAATTCATTAGACATGGCTAGGAACAGAACAGTGAAAAATGGCAGAAATCTAGATAAGGAATACAAAACAGAAAAAGGAATCATGCACTAAACTCTGCACACACTCAACAGTTGGTAGTATTAGGAAAGTTGTTTTTTTAACACAATAAACGGTACTATTATGCTACAAAACCAGTTTTCAAACAAAACATCCAGCCAGCAAAAGTTATGCAATGAATATTACGGAAACATGCTCTCTGTTTTTATTGGGGGTAAGTCGCGTACATCTTGACCTCAAACCCCCAATGAAGTTAAAATTATATTGGGTTTGTTGTTATTGTTAAGAATTAATTTTTTTATCATAAATTTTAAAAGGATCAAATTTGATGAGAGTACAGACTCAAGGCAGATCACAGAGGAAATTCATTTTCATTGCCATGAAAAAGATTTTCCAAAGAAGTTTTTATTGAGATTTTCATATGTTTGGTCAACTTCTAAAGTTGACATTACATGCTTATGAAATACTATTGCAATACACATATTTCCAAAGAAGTGGAAAACTGATTTCTCAAGTCTCATCGCAAGAAAAGATTTTCCACTCCTCAACAGAAAACAACTTTCACAGGAAAATAGTTTCCCTCATTTGGCCTACCAAACGCTGGAAAACACAAAATAAGTTTTCCTGGAACATCAATTTGTGTGTACCAAACACTGCCTAAGTAAAAATAACATAACATTTCTTTAGTGACACGAAGAAGTCAAACAAACATATACAAATGAGAAGAGACCTTGCAAAAACAGTAGAATGATCCATCACTGCCTTCCCAGATTTTCCAAGCTAATACGTACTCTCTAGGAGTCATGAGGGGGAACTTCTTTACCATCCAGCCAATTTCAGTCCCACTGTCTTTGTCCACTTGTAACTGACCATGCATTGCTAAGGTTTTATCCCATGTTTTCCGGAAATCATTATCCATGTAAAAATCTCTCAGCACTTCAATGGAGCAATTTTCAAATACTGTAGTACTTAAATACTTATGAGGCCCATCCTGTAAAAAAAGAGGAAGAACTGTTCAACTTAGAATCCACTTCAAAAACGCATATATGGGCCAGAGCCATTATGATTGGTGATAAAAGCTGCAGCTTGGTGAGGTTAAGACATACAAACTGCTTTCAGACATACTCCCTCAGGTTTTATCGATGAGGTGTTTCTAGAAGGATTTTTGGTCCTCTTTATTAGATATTTTGATGTTTTTGAGGTTCTAGAAAAGTTTTTTCCCAAAATACTCCTATTCTCAAAAGCTTTGGAGACTATCTTGCTAATATTCTTTTTTACTTTTTAGGAGTAAAATTGACAAAAAGGTATAAATTCATGTTAACTTTACTTTTAACAAATTATCTTGGTATTGGTGATGTTGGTATTGATGATGTTGGTGTAAATCCTTTATAAACAGGACCGGAGGGAGTACATAATGGATTGACTATTTTATTTATAGAGGCAATGACATAGAAGCCTTGGTTATGAACTTGTTGAAATTTGACTGTCTGAGTTTGTAATACCTTTTATAAGATACTTGAAACTACATGTCTACATATGTTCATTTGTCCTAGGCCATGGTTATATAGATGAAGATTTGACCAAAACTGTCATTTCAGGGGCAAAATATTAGTGTGCTGCAACAAAACATGACTTTCACCCCCACTTCAGAAATGGGTCGGTCAGCTGCATTTCTAACAACTTCCTAAAAGAAGTGTGCTGTGTGCAAAAACAACTGAGCAAAAAGTATGCAGGACTGCAGGAATTCTTATACTACATCTCAGACAATTGAACTCGTGGCATGAAGCCTGGCACTAACACCTTTGGCTTACAACATTTTGCTGTGTAGGAAAAAAGATCTTCTCGCCGGTCAATGACATGTTCCCACCTTTCATTATCATGGAGCTTCTCGTCCAAGTTTTCTATCAAATTCTTCAGGTCCAAATCAGATATGATTGTAGAAATCCTGCAAGGGGTTTTAAGTGAGAAAATAATCTCTGTAATAAGTATCCACAACAAAAAATGAATTGTACCAGGCTTTGTTTAACACTCAGTCTTCTTACTTCACTTAGAGACTACCTCAATGTTTGGGAAGAGGCAACCAGAGGGAGGTGAAGTCAATTTCACATTGTACCTCGATTGACCTTGTTAGGGAAAAGAAATTTAGGGTTTAAACCAATGTATGATGAGGACCTAAGGGCTAAGGTAGCCACTACCTTGTACTCATATTTTGTTGCCGCGCTGGATAGGAGGACAACTGAGGCAGGCAACCATCCGGTCCCTCCCAACCTATTACTATCTAACCTAGTTCCAAGGGTCCAGAAAACAATTTCTACATACCTACCTTCATTTAATCCATAACTAGCAAAACAACTTGTTATGAAATATCAACTCCCTAGACCTACCTCAAACAAAGAAATCTCCTATTACCACCATTTACCTACCCTAATTGACCTCCTCCCAGCCATAACTAAGAATTCACAATCTCCAAGTGCACTCGTAGATGTAGAACAATAAAACAAACAAGAAAGATCACTAAGAATTCCTAAAAAAAAGTATCAGAAGTTCAATATCGACTAAAATAACTTGAACGCTTTTTTCTAACAACGAAGAACTTTATGAAAATGAAATACCTAGATTGGGGGAGAAGGGATGAAGAAATATGTGATGCAGGATCACGGATAGAGCCTGAATATGATGGAGCAGCTCCTCGTCGGCCGCTTGATCCGCACAAAGAATGAGAATAATACAACAATGAAGACATGAGACGTCGGAAACATCGGAATTTGGATAGCAAGTGGCAAATGAATATGATGAACGTAACCCCGAAGGTATAGGAATACGAAGCGCCATAGCTCCGAGTCGCTCCCAATGTTCCTTCTCCAACAAAATTTCTTCCCCAGAACTTTTCCGGCGACGGAACCAGATACCCTAATCCCGATTCCGGCGACAGCGTCCGACCCCAAAAAATCATCCCGGCGACGACGATACACTATTTGCTAAAAATCCTTACTTCGAGTAGGATTTAATTGGCGTAAGAACGATGGAATCTATGGATAGGTTTCCCCGCCGGAATCCGAGCTCCATCCTGTTCACTTCTTCTTCCTCAGTTTCACTGGGAAATTTAATTTGGGCGACGGTCCGTATATTTTTAAATAACGCTTCCGTACCGTTGTCAATTTAATTTAGGTTGGCCTCAATATGATTGCATATTTATCACAGTTTCAAAAATGGAAAGATCGTTAGCAAAAAGTTTTCTTAGAATGTTATGGAGTATTGTAAAAATATTAAATTTATGCAAGTGCAAATTATAATTATTTAATTTTAAAATATTCTTACAAAATTTCAAATTTCTCACAATATTCCCTTTTTAAATGCAAATGATAACATTAATTTCAAATATTCTAAAAAAAACTCATAGTCGATTGACTCATACCCAATAATACTAAATTATCAACATGCATATTTTAACTTGAATCCCAAGAAACCCAAATCTAGAACAGATTTGGAATTTATTCTCTTCAACTTATTATTATTAAAATCAGATCAGACCAGATCTGAAATATCTTTAAATACAACAGCAATCAGACTAAATCAGATCAAAATTTATTTCAATCATATCAAAACCAATCAGATCAGCTAAAGAGAAGAAGTCTTGTTTGCCAACTCTAATTTCAGAGAAACTGAATTAGAAGATATTGATAAATCACGGGCAAGAACATATAAATAATAAAGGTAAAGTGCAAACTGGGAATAATCTTTCTAAAGGTTATTGCTTCTCAAGTGCAAACTGGGATAAACGTTGTGTCTATGCACACCAAGTGAAGAATATTGCAACGACACATTGTATATGCACAATTTCAAAAAATTCAAATCTATGGTGGGGTGGGGAAGCAATTCACTCATATACCAGTACTTTTTGTACAAGCAGTAAAACATTTTCACCGCGATAAAGTAGTTTTCTTGTGAAACTTGGCCGGGCACCGGGCAGCTAAGTTCAGCACTGAGATGGGGACGGGTAACGAATGAGGAAACATCAAATTTCCAAATGTTTGAAAAACCTGTGCAACAAAATAGTGGGTAGAACCCCGGTTGGCTGCCCTCTAGCTCTGGGCAGTGGATGTGGTTGAAAAACTTTTCGTGGAAGAGAAATGTTCAAATAATCAGGTGTTTTTCTCAAGGACTGAGAGTGCTGGAGTTAAGTAGTTGTTAGCTATATCAGGTAAATGTGCAACCTGCAAGCAAAGTTTTGAGAGGAGGAAAATAAAAATAAAATGATAAAAGTAAAAGAATGCAAATAATCTATAAAGTTTGGCTGTGTTCCAATAATAATAACAAAATTCGCCAAATTAATACCCTCTCAATCCCAAAATAAACTTCTCACTTTCGTTTTTTAGGTCATCCCAAAATAAACTATCACATGTTTTTAAAGGAAAGCATTGAATGATTTACATGATTTTCCTTTCATTAACATAAATCTCAACCACACAATCTCACATTTTCTTACACTGGGAAAAAATCAAACGGGAAGTTTAATTTTGAATGGAGGAAGTATTATATTGGTATTATTTTAGTCTTCCACTAATAGTCCACACTCTAACACTATGTTTGGTTCAAGGAATTTGAAAGAAAACAAAAGAAAATGATTTTCTCTCATTTTCCTCACCAAAATGGGAGGAATTTGGTTTTCCTTCTTTTTAGTACATTTTGTTATCTCATTTTCTTTTCCTTCCACTTTTGTATACTTTTGTTCTTTAACCAAAAGTATTTTTGTAGTGGGATTCAACTGGGTTGTTGTTGTTGTTTGTTCTTTAACCAAACAAGAAAAACTATTTTTTCATCTCATTTTCTTTTCTTTTTCCTTCCAAATTCCTTAAACCGCACATAGTGTAAGGCTCTTACTCTTGTTAGTTTTTGGCCATGTAGCATGATTTTTCAATTATATTTCTTGAGGAGAATAGCAAATTCAAAGAATATAGGGAGAATGTCGGTTATTGTTAGAATATAAATAACTATTCCTGGGCCACAACCACAAGCTTGAGCTTGTGGTTGAGTTGGTTCCTTGACATGGTATCAGAGCCTCGTTAAGGTTTCACGTGCAAGGCTCGAAAAAGACTATGCTTGCACGTGAGGGGGCGTGTTAGAATATAAATAACTATTCCTGGGCCACAACCACAAGCTTGAGCTTTTGGTTGAGTTGGTTCCTTGACAGTTATGTTTGGTATACTTATCTAATAATATAACTCCATTAAACATTCAATTGAATGTCGTATCATCAAAAAGTTAAGAGGAAGGTTAACACTTGATAGTCTTAGATTATGGATCATTATTGGAAGACTAAAGCAAGCTTTGGATTAACCACAAGTCCACAACCAATGGAGTGAGTGAGAATAATTGTGCATGTGTCTCAACTCCTCCAGAGCTAGAATTAGAGTAGTTGGGTAAACCATTAGACCTTAGTTTTTTTTCTTGACTTGTTGCCTAAGACCAAGTTCTCTTCAACTTATTACTCATTACTTTTTCTTATTAGAATCAGATCATATCAAAAATAGCCACATCAAATCACAAATTATTCTAATCAGATCAGAGCCATCAGGTGAAGAGAACATGGGCCTAAGTTTGTAGCATGTGCATGTGTGTTCTCGGTGATTTGAGTCCAGTGTTGTGTTTATTGTATGTATGCTTTTGTGTTGAGCCAGGGTCTATTGGAAACATCCTCTCTACTTTCAAATAGGGATAAGGTCTACGTATACAGTAGACACACCCTCTTAGACTGTCTTGTGGGGATTATACTATGTTTGTTGTTGTTTTTGTTTGTCTCAATTCTCAATTAACTATTAGAAGGTTTGCTCATCATCAACCTAAGAGAAGAAAATGCATATAATAACAATGAATAAACTTACCAGCTCATAAAGCTCCTTCCCAGATTCAGACACATATTCATGACATACCTAGCATTATTAGTCAGGAAAATGAAAAGTTTGTAAATTAATCCCATTTGAGAAGGCATTATCAGAAAATCATACATTATATCTTCTATTTTATGAATACACGTTGCGGTTTTGACCAAAACCTGTGAAAATTTTAAATTAGATACAATTTTTAGCCAACTCTTTAGAAATTTCCAAATTAACCATGAGTTTGCGAATTGGTATAGTTTGAACCAATTTTGTTGTGGGACAAAATTGAATGTCATGGCAAAGTTAGTACGGAGTATTTGCTATGCACTAACAACTCCAAGTCATTTTTTTGCTTCATCCGTTCGATGAAAAGAGTTTCTTTTAAAAAGGTGCAACCTTCTTTTATTCAAAACCTTTTTTGGGACATAGAGTAATCATTAGGATTATCAATCCAGAGTTCTTGTTGTTAGTTCCATATTGTGTTGGCATTATTTTTTGACAAACGAATAGATTTACCTAGAATTATTTTAGATATTTTATTTAGACTTAGAGTTCTAGCATGTGAAGAAAGAGAAAGAGGAAAGAGCTTGAAGAAAGAAGTCTAATCCTACTTGGTTTACTATTTTTGAGGAGGAAGGCATGGATGTGACTCCTAAGCACACTCTAATAAGGTTAATATGCTCTATATATTATCTTCACCCTCCCTTAGGGTTTTGGACGTGCAAAACTAAGAAAAACCTGAAGCAAATCCGATCAAAAAAAATAAGGTGCAGATTTAGAGACTGTAAATTTTCTGGCCAGCCCGCACGGATTTGATCATTGCCGAAGATCCGACCGTTGGATTTTGCTGAAATTTTCAGAGAGTGTTCCCAACACATAGGGCTTCAACGTGTTCAAATTTCACGTCAATCAGAGTTACGGATCTTCTGTTATCGAAGTTACAATCTACACATTGTTACTGATTTTTCGCAGAAAACGCAGCCTTGGTTTTCTCCATGGTTGGAGTATCAAATCTTGTCCGATCGTGCTGAAATTTTAGGAGTCTAGGGACTCGTGGAGCTTCAATCTGAACGGTGAAGATTGAATTCCAACACTTCAATCTCGATTTATGAGCTTCCGAACAGCCTGCATATTTTTGTAGATCAAGGAGAATCTTTATTTGAAGGTGTATTAGAATCTACGTCCTTGAAGAAGATCTTTGAGAAGGTGTAACAAGCCGTGGAGATAGACAAACCGAGTTTGTCGTCAAATCATTCGTAAGTAGACAAATCAATACATTAGATGGTTCTGTTGTGATTGATTGTGTAATTCTTACGGTGATTTAGTGGAAGGGCTATTACACAGACATGGGCCTTGCAGACGTAGGAGAATTTGCTCCGAACTGCATGAACAAATCTGGTGTCTTGCTTGTTGTTTTTACTTTATATTCTATGTGTGTTCTTGTGACAGAGAAGGTGTTATAGCAACTGTCAGTCATCTGTTACTGTGACAGTGCTGCAGCATATTCTCTACAACATAGTTGATTGTTTTGTTTGCATAGCTTGTGTTTGGTGTTATCCGCTGCGCCCCCACGAACTTACACTTGTGGGGCACATTAAGGATTTAATTTAAAATGTGAGAAGAATATGGTGGTTATTTGAGTTGAGTTGTCTGTAAAGCCAATTTTTTGAGAACTCAAAGTGTTTCATGGATTGGCCAAACCTAAAACCAATATGTAAAATCATGACTAAATTATCACTTTTAAAAGAATTGGCCAAAACCACAAATAATTGGAAAAGATCGACCAAAACTACACCAAACTAAATGGACACTTTTTTTATACCAAAAATCACAACTCAAAGGACTCTAAAAAACAAAGACTCACATCGAAACTTTTGTTCCGGGCTGTTGAGTCATGCAACGCCTTCACACAGATATCTGCCACGTCAGCACAGCTGATAGCCTATAATACACACTTGTCATACAAGTGAGATAAGACTATTCCAGCAGTTTCTTAAGAGTAGCATATAAACCAACCTGGGATATTCTGTTTCCTTGGTCAAATACAAGAGCACGCTGGCCACCAGGTTCTTCCTGCAACAAATCATCATTGAAGTATTGAACAACTGCTCTATTTCTCACATTTTGCGGAGAAAAAACGTGCTCGTAAGTGTTTAAGTAGTCCCATGTCCATGTTTTTTAGACTAGGAGTTCCATACTAAAAAGGTTAAACTCATATGGTTATTAGACTGGTGCCTTATATGGAGTAGTATATTTTATACTTTTTTACTTAACAATCTAAACAAACAACCACAGAGAATTTTCTTAACAGTTTTCAAATTGAATATTTAGCGAGATTAAAATTAAGGAGCATTAAAATGTTTACCATTAAGGGACCAGGACGGATTATTGTATATCCAAGGCCTGACCTTCTCAATGATTCTTCTCCAGCCTAATAGAAAACAAAAATAAAGGAAATCAGCAAGACAAAATATAAGTAAAATTTTCAAGAGTTTAGAAATTTGAATATAGGACATACCCTCTTGGCTTTCAGAACCTGCTCCCTCCTAGCAGGTTCTACTCCCAATCCTGTACATGAAACTAATACAAAATCTGTTTCTTGTCCACTCTGCAAATATAGGAAGAAGCAATTATGAGGTTTTAAGAATACATATCCAAGCATCAGGAATCACGCTTTTGGTTTTGTGTAGCAAGTACAAATGTTTCTTGCTAGGGATGTGAAATGACATGTTAACTCCACATTAGTATGCTCTTAGTTGCTTCGTGTCAAACTTGCATGGATTGTTTTTAGGCATCTCCTAATGAGCTTTGGTGTAAACATATACCCATGGTTATTCTTCCTTAATTTTCAAGTGTGTCGCTTGGGTTGATATCCCAGCATTGCTAAAGGGTAAAAGGAAGGTGACCCTACTTGAATGGATACACGGAGGGTTGAAAGTGTTGCATAGATGGGAATTCTGGACAACACACTATTCCCACCATACAGGTGCACTTACAGGCAAAGCCTTAATATATTCCAAAATTAATTGAAAGCATCTCAAGTCTTGTTTCGCCACATTAGATCCTTCATGTTGTCTCTGCAGGGAACAGAAATGAAGGAAAAGTTCAAGGAATCGCTCCAATAGTGAATTAAAAAGAATTAGCAGTTATTAATAACGAAGTTGGGGTAGTTTGCATGAAATTTATAGTGCCATATGAATGGCATGAAATTAATTCACACTAAATTCTTTCAAAAAAACATAGTGCGATATTTTGTCGGATTTCCTTCATGTTGCAACATGTATAAGAAGGAATCCGCTAGAAACATTGGCATGAAAAAAGATAGTGATCTTTTTGAAGACCGAACCTGCTTTTTTGGCTCAAAACGAATAGTTAATGTATGTACAAGGAATGGATCCAATGGTGGATCATCTGGTTTCAGAGGACGGAAGGAAGAAAATGGAACTCTCACCTGTGACAACATACAAGTTAAACATCGACAATAAAAAAACCACACAAGTTTCACAAGGTTCAATCAACAATTAACTCACCCTGCAAAACCCTGCTTTTGTGTTGATTCTTGTAAAATAGATTTTGCTTTGAATTGTATCTGCTGAAGGACCAGCTTCAAGAATTAAAATGTACGGCCGCCCATTCCCGCCAACAGAGAACACTAGGCCCTCATACCTAAGCACCACATATATAACTTTGGGATGGGTTAATTCCATTGAAGAGGGAGAATTAATTCATTGCTGCTTCAGAAAAAATAATGTTAGTACAACACATACATATATTAGACTCAAATTAAGTACAAAACCAATCTAATCCGGGATGATCAACACCCCTAAGCCCAATTCGAGCGGGAATAGAAGGGCAGACAAATGGCCTCAAACCGACCCCATGTGCAGTGCCCTGGCAGGCACCACGCACAGTTTATCTCACACTGTTATAATAGACTCACAACCAATGGATACCTGATGTGGGATACTCAACCATAAATGTGAGAGATTAAGGTAGCATTGCAAACCTGTCAAGTGTGTACCCCAAAGGAAGTGAAAGCCTTTTTGACAATTCAACATACCCTCCTCTTGTAAAAACATACCCTATCGTGCAACCAAAGTACACTAAGCATAAGATTAAGAGCCCATTTGGTAAAAAAATAGAATAGCTAAAGTGGCTAAATCTGCTGAAATTGTGACTGGAATGGATACAACTTCTGAATTGTCTTGTATAGTTAAGTATTTATTTAAACTTTAGTTTCTAAAATATAGAAAATATTACTCCGTATCTAAATACGAAGGTTGAAGTGTCATTTTCATTAACTTCAATCAATTAAGCAAAAAAACTTCTGCAATACTTTTTTTCATTATTAGCCAATTCAGCCAGCATAGTGGAATGAGTTGGTATTTGGTTAAAAATTTCATTGTTAAAGCTGATAATTGGAAAGTGGAATATTCTCATCCTACTCATAAAATGGTCTTGTTTGGCATTGTGATTGGAAACTGCATATTGCTTCTACATTCGCATATTTGTATGAGTGGCATTCCAGCTTATTGCTTCTCCAATCATAATCCGATGCTTATTGCTTCTCCAAATGCTAGTTCTTTATTTTTTTTTTGCAGTTTGAATACGCCAAATATTCACTATTTTTAGGCTTTGGGGTATGATGGAATAAAGCAAAATGGCTCGTTAAACTCTCTGCGCTTCTTTTAGTAATGAAGTGGCAAATAGTCAATGCAATTTTTGACGCTCATCATGGGTCATCTAGAAACAGCTGCTTTATGACATAGGGGTGGGCTGCATACATGATTACCTGTGGGGTTTGAGTCGGGGGCCACTTCGGAAACAACCTCTCTACTTTCGAGTAGGGTAAGGTTTGCATACATACACTCTCCCCAGACCCTACTTTTGTGAGATTCAATTGTGTTGTTGTTGTTGTTGTTGCAGTTTGAATAAACACCAATTTGATGCATATTGCTTATTGAATAAGCAAAGGCTTATTGAATATGCAAGGGCTTGTTGCTTATTGAATAAACAGAATCTGATTGCTTATAGAATAAGCAATGGCAAACAGGCTCAAGATATTTACACAGCGCCATAAATGAAGAGTAACAGCCTACTGTTTTTCTTTCCCATAGTGAGTGAATCTTCATCCATCATATACACTCATTTCACTATGTCAACTAGCAAAATACTGCAATAATATTGACTAAGTTGTTGCGTGCAACTGATACCTGAAAAAACAGCTTCTCCTGTGTCAGTAAACTCAAACTTTGCATCCATCCCTCCATCATATTTAGTAGCAACTGCATCTTTGAAATATGTCCCCGTACGGACTTCCCACCCATTCAATGAATTTTTGGACTTGAATTTTGTGATTAAAAGCTTGCTTTTGCTGCTTTTCCCTGTCCGCAGTTGTGCAAGCTTGTGATTATAGTCCTACATGTATATGGATCAGTCTATCATACATCTTTTTGTATCCTGTATCATTATCACCCTACTCCAAATATACTCAACTAAGCATTCTTTAAAAGGAAAATAAGCAGCTTCCATATGCAAACGTGCATTGTTTAGAAAAAAATGATCTGAATAAAAAAAGTTGCACCGTACTTTTTGCAAATTTTGAAGATTGCTCATTTTCCTCTAAAAGGTTTCGCATTTCCTTGTCGTTTTTAGTGTTCATGCATTATATTGTGAATGCATACATTTTACTTTGAACGATTAATGAATGAAAATATTGGACTGTAGGACATAGAGAAACTCTATTGAAGGTGAGAGCATGAGTGCATACATTTCCTTGAACGGCATTGATGAGAGTACGAAACATTAATAGAGTACCTGGAGAGCTTTGGTAAGGTTGTACACCCCCTGACAATCAACTCTATTGAGATCCGCTGTGATGGTGGATCGAGCAGTTGCACAATAGATGATTTTATTGCAGCCTTGAACGGCATTCATGAGAGCGGAAGGATCACCCACATCCCCAACTACAACCTCCACAGACCTCGGAAGCATTTCCTTCACGTCTTCATCTGCTTTCCTCACCAGAGCCTTGACTCTGTAGCCTCTGAGCATGAGCTTCCGGACCACGATCCGCCCGACGCGGCTGGTGGCACCCACAACAAGGACGGTGGTGTTCTGAGCCAATGGAATGGCGAATTTGCTGATCGGACCATCCTCTCCTGCTAGAGTACTAGGCGACGGAGTCTGACCTAATACGGAGAATTTCCGCCACACCTCGTCGAAAATTTGGCGCGACCGCCGCCCTAACCCCACCGGATTGACATCGTCGAGCCTCCGTATGACGGAAACTGAAGGAGAAGACGGCAATTGATCCTCGCTGCTAACACTGACAACTTCATTCTCATTCTCACCCTCCTCGATTGCAATCTTCTTCCTCCTCCTCCTCCTCTTCCACCTCTTCTTCTCCTCCTTCCCATCCCCGTCCGGAGTAGAAGAAGAATCAGTTGCCCTGGAAACTACAACAAACCTGCTCGATTTAGCCGCCGGGAAACGGATTGTTCCGGTGGACGAGGAATCAAAAGAAGCGGGATATGATCTCCATGTTTGATGATTGTTGCAGTTGAAGACTGCAGCAGTTAAAGCACTACTCATTTCCTCAACAAAACACCTTTGAATGGATCAAATTCCTACCGAGCACTCGCTGATCGCCGGCGATCGGAACGACCGCGCCGTGAACCAAACGTTGCCTGCGGGTTGGCCACGTGTCAATTAATACTTCTTTCCTTATCCGCTTCCCGTAGTCTGTTAACGGGTGGCCGGGTGGGATCGAAAAATGAAAATTTTTAAACCACTTGAACCGGGCGTAGCAAAAGGAAAAACATTTTTTTATTTCTTCTTATTTTTTTGCATAAAAAATAAACAGATACTTTAGGAGAAAAAGATCGTAAACATTTGCATACTACCATCACTTATTGGTCCACAAAAGATTGGGTGGACAAGTTTGTTGTTGATTTAGGACATTTGCAATTAGGGCTGGACACGGTACCGGTTCGGTACCGTTACCGGCGCCGGTACCGGCGGTACCTGCAACCGTCCTCGTCGTCCATTTCGTCACCCGGTACCAGGAACCGGCACCGGCACCGCCCCACTCGGTACCGGTTCCGGTGCCAATATTTCCGTCCCGGAACCGGCGGTTCCGGTACCGGTTCCGGTACCGTACCGTGTAATTTTTTTTCTCTTGTCCGGTTTTCCCTGGCTTCCCTGCTGTCCAACGGCTCCAAGACTAAGCAGGCCTGCAAAAAAAATAAGTGGAGCATGGGGGGGTCCCCTCAAACGGCTATGATGCCATTGAGGGGAGGGGGGGGATTGGGGGTTAGGGGAGGGGGGAGGGGGCTCTACACTAACACTATAAATACACCATTTTTTTAAATAAATAACACATCATTCTCATAATCTCATTTCTTCTTACTCCTCTCTAATTCTCTTAAATCTTATATCTCAATTCTTATTATCTTTTATACATTTTATATTTATATAATAATATAAATATATATTAACATATTATATAATATATAAATATATACTCATATATATATAATAATAAATTTTTAGTTATACATTCATTATTCATATAAATATATAATCATATAAATATATATAATCATATCAAAACATATATATATATATTAAAATGTCGAGAGAGTCCGGTAGAAGGTCCGTGGATATGGCCGCCGTGAACCGTTTGAGGAGAGGCAAAGCTAAAGCCACCTCCGACGGTTCGACCTCACGCGGTTCTCGAGGAAGACACTTCGTCTCTTCCTTTCCTACTATCCCCGATCACTTAATCGGGGACGCTATGACGGATGAAGAATTGACCAGATTTATTCTGGTAGAGGGGACGCAAATCTCCCCACTCTTGATAGTGTATTCGAAGATCTTGATGAAGCAGGACTGGATAATCTAGACGGGGACGAGGAGCCTACACCGCAGAGCAACGACGTCGACGTGGAGGCAGGTGAGCCCGAGACCTCTCGAGGTCTGGACAAACGTAAAAAAAATATAAATCAGATTTATTTGTTTATCATTTTGACAAAGACACAAAAGATGGCGTAGTTTATGGAACTTGTAAACATTGCGGGACCGTCATAAAAATAGGAGTTTCCGGCCGTCATGGCGGTCCGGAAAAACACCTAAGGTCGAGGCATCTCGTGGAGTACGCCAAATACGAGGCAAAAAAGAAGGGACGACAAGAAGTGCAAACCCAAATTTCTCGGTTTGCTAACAGAGGTAAGGGCGGCCTTTTTGCTTATAGCGACGAGCAAAATAAGCAAAAAATGGCCGAAATGATTTGTGAAGAAAATTTTCCATACATGTTTTCTGAGAAACTTGGTTTTATTGATTATTGTCAACAGGAATTAAACCCTCAAGCACGAGGTCTTTCAAGAAAAACAATTAAACGAGAAATTATTCGTCAGTATAAAAATGGAAAAATAAATTTGGAAATTTTTTTTCTTAATTTTAATTCTCGTGTTGCTATTTGTTCTGATATTTGGGGTGAAACTTATCATAATTTGTCTTATATGGGTGTTACTTGTCATTGGATAGATAGTGATTGGATTATGCATAAACGTGTTCTTGCATTTTGTGATTTCAATGAACAGCATACTGCTGAAAATATTTTCCTATTGATTCAGAGTATTCTGCGGGAATACAACTTATCTGACAAAGTGTTTTCATTTGGTTTTGATAATGCTACTAATAATACTACAGCTATTCCTAGACTTAGAGAAATTTGCCCACCGTCTACGGCTATGAGTAGATTTTTGCATCAACGGTGTGCCTGTCATGTTTTAAATTTATGTGTTCAACATGGACTAGAAGCTATGGGCGGAGTTTTGACGAATATTAAAGAAGGAATTAAAAGAATTTGGGGGGCTCGTCTTATTTCGAGGTCCTGGAAGATGTTCTGTAAGTCTAAGGGTAGAAAAGAAATAGTTTTTGCCAAAGATATCAACATTAGATGGAATAGTACTTACAAATTAATTGATCAGATTTTAAGATATTAAGAGGAACTTGCTGAATTTTTTAGGGATGAACTTCGTATAATCATTGATCCTTTTGAATTTGTTATTGTTGAAAAATTGAATGCCGTATTAGAAGTTTTTAATAACGCAACTCTTACTTTTTCTCATGTTTACCAACCAACTACAAATACATTTTTAAAAGAGTGCGTTACAATCGCAACATGTTTTCGTGAAAGTA